TAAGATTTATAACAGGGTCGACTTATGCAAGTATCAAACAAGTCACGCCTCAGAGCTTCCATGACCCTCGACAGAGCGTGTCTGGTGTACATGCAGGAAGCACATCCATGCAGGCCTTCCACCTCAACGCATACTGCATAAGCAGGTCGATTTACTCGTATACTGATCATGGTTATTTCCTGATGACTAGGCTCTTTAACTTCTGCTACTTCCGTTCCCATGGATACAGAATCAAAGCGCATTTCTCATCCACAGCCCTAGCAGGTGGCCCTGCCTTTGGTGGTATATCATTTCCTCCGAGGCACTCCTGGCATGAGGCAAATTTGGCTGGGCGTATACTGAGGTTCGGCAATTCGGGATTTGTACTTCCATATTCCACGTCTTACTCTGCATTTTTTTGGAGAACATGATCGATATAAGTTGCAGTATTAGGTAGGTAAGGGCAAAGAGGCTATTTGGTACTTTGCATATATCAAGGGCATGGTTATTCCTCTCTGTAGATGCAATTACTCTTTCGTTGTGTCTTTTCCAGCCATGATGAAACAGACTGTTTGGCCTTCAACATCATTATACAGGCTACACTAAACGATGGGATACCACTCATATCAACCCCGACCAGACGCCGATTCGGTACTTTGATACAATGGCGAAGAGTAAATAGATTGAATAGACCAACGATGACCATGGCCGTTAACGCCCTTTTAGATTCTAGGTAGTCTATATACTGTATCCTTGGAAAGCTTAATGGCATGATAGCAGTACTTCAGAACATTTCAAATAGTCAATATGCTCCGTATTCACTCGTTATCTTGCAGTGATTGTAGTAGCGGTATTAGCTGTGTACCTTAGGCCCTGATGAGCCAGTGAGGACTTCACACAAGAGATGGCCAACCTCCTACTGGTCCATTGGAACACTCTATACGTAGAACACATCAAGCAATAACCCCCATAACTGGAGATATATATTCCGGTAGACTAACTACTGCTAAAGACTCATGTGCACCGCCACCTCACTACTGTAAAACCCTAGTGACTACCATGTCGTAGTAGAGTTGAAATTCTCTAATAAAATATCATAAAACCATTCTCAATGCTATTGTGAGTTGTAAGTTGAGATACTTCATATAACTATGGAGTAGAGTAGTATCTGGCCTGAGGCAGTACGCTAGTCTCGATCGAGCAGGAAAGTGGCGCCGGCCGAGCAAGTAACTTTGCCTGCCGCACCGCGTATCGACAGGGACCGCGCAACGCGAACTTCTCAAAGAAGTTTGTTCGATCAGAAGCTTAACCACCCAGCTTTCAATCTTCCATTGCTCAAGCGATCTTGGGTATACTCCTTTTACCATCCCTTTTCCCGGTCGCCCATATCACACCTTTCAAATAAAAAATCGTTTATCTCTCTAGCGACAACCTCCGAGAGCATCTCCAACATGTATGATCCGTCTGTCCCTGTCGCTGTGTCTATCCTGCTAACGGCCTCATCAGGGAGAGCTTTGACAACATCTACCTCGACCTCTCGAAGCAACCGGGAAAGTGCAAGCTTGCGGAAAGTGGTTTAGGATGGAAGCCTTCCGGTGGAGGTGACACTTTTACCCTGGACAGTAGCGAAATCGGCGCGGCCCAGTGGACCAGAGCCGCGAAGGGGTTTGAACTGAAAATTCTATCGCGCACCTCGGGTGTGATCCAGCTCGATGGTTTTGATCAGGAGGTATGTAACCCCATGTGCTCCCGGGACTGAATTCTACAGAAAACATTGGGATGGGCTTTTCTGACGCTTCAATGTTGTTGATCTAGGACCTGGAACGGTTGAGCAAAACATTCAAGAACTGGTATGGCATCAATGTGGAAACCAGGGAACGAGCGCTCCGAGGCTGGAACTGGGGCAAGGCAGAGTTCACCAAGGCCGAGCTGGCGTTCAACGTGCAGAACCGCCCTGCCTTCGAAATCCCGTACTCCGAAATCTCGAACACGAACCTTGCCGGGAAAAACGAAGTCGCGGTGGAATTCGCCTTGAATGCCGATGGCGACGAGACCAGCAAGCAGCCTGCTGGTAGCACAAAGAACCGTGGACAGAAGGCTGCGGCTGGCCCTGATGAGCTGGTCGAAATGCGATTCTACATCCCTGGAACCGCAGTGAAGACAGACAAGAGCGTCAAAAAGGAAGAGGGCGCAGAAGAGGACGGAGAAGGAGAAGGAGAAGGAGAAGGAGAAGAGGACGAAGTGGAAGAGCAAAACGCGGCCAACCTCTTCTACGAGACTCTTATGGATAAGGCGGAGATTGGTGATGTGGCGGGCGATACCTTTGCTACCTTTTTGGATGTTCTGCATCTCACGCCCAGGTATGTTCCATCCCTCTGCTCTAGCACCCGGAGTGTGTGGGAGTCGCTCATATGGTTTCCAGAGGACGTTTCGATATCGACATGTACGAGGCTTCCTTCCGTTTACGGGGTAAGACCTACGACTATAAAATCCAATACGCATCCATCAAGAAGTTTTTCTTGCTACCGAAGAATGACGATACCCACACTCTCATCGTTTTGGGTCTTGACCCGCCGCTGCGACAAGGCCAAACCCGCTATCCGTTCCTTGTCATGCAATTGAAACTGGACGATGAGATCAGCCTGGAGCTGAACATGACTGAGTGAGTGCTTTCCATCTGATGGGCGTTGGATGTGTGCTAATATCTTCCAGTGATTTGCTGGAGAGCCGCTACAAGGATAAGCTGGAGTCTCGCTACGAGGAGCCCATCCACCAGGTTGTCACCAAGGTCTTCCGTGGCTTGTCGGGGAAGAAGGTTATCATGCCGTCCAAGGACTTTGTCAGGTTAGTAATTCGAAGAATGCTGCTAATCGAGCTACAATTCGCTGACAATTCGCAGCCACCACGGCCATAGCGGAGTCAAATGCTCGATCAAGGCCAACGAAGGTCTGCTGTACTTCCTGGACAAGAGTCTGATCTTCGTTCCGAAGCCGGCGACGTACATTCAACTTGAGAACATTGCCGTCATCACCATGTCGCGAGTCGGCGGTGCCGTGTCGGCCAGCCGCACATTCGACATTACGGTCAGCTTGAAGGCCGGCATGGGAGAACACCAATTCAGCAACATCAACCGGTATGATGCCGTCTCCACCTCCAAACAATGACTATCAATACTGACAGCTGGACAGCGAGGAACAACAACCCCTCGAGGAATTCTTCAAGGCAAAGAGCATTCGCTTCAAGAACGAAATGTCGGAAGACGTAAGTCATACCTTATCACCTACAGTCATCATGACACCGTCCGCTCCTCGGTCAAATCAACACATTATAATGAACTAACTAACAACCACTCCAGGCTACATCGCTCATCGCAGCCGCCCTCGACAACGACGCCATGGGATCAAGCGATGACGACGGTGTCCGAGCCGACCGCGGCTCAGCCGACGAGGACGAAGAATCTATCGACGAAGACTTCCAGGCCGACTCGGACTCCGACGTGGCTGAAGAATTCGATTCTGCACACGAAAGCAGCGGAAGCGATGCTGAAATGGAAGATGCTTCGGGTGGAGGCGACGACGATGTAGATATGTCCGAGGCAGAGTCGCGACCGAAGAAGAAGACCAAGTCTGGATAATGTTGATACATGGGTTTTAAATCTACATGACAGTATGGTTCTATCAACGATCTTTGTATGATCGATATGCGGTCTTTCATGATAAGAAAGGAACATGTATTATAATGTTATCTCATTTCCTGGTTCCTGGCTGTATCTAGGCTCTCGACATGAAGGAGCCATCTCCTCATTGCATATTCCCACCTATAGGTCAACACTCGCCATTGTTACCAGTCTGACGCACCAGTGTGTAGATTGTGGATTATAAAAACCATACTATCGAAAGACTATCGAACGGATATTTCTGACCTACCTACACACCTATCCATGATAGACAAACAAACCTGCAGGACCAAAGCCAGCACAGGTCACCAGACAAACCCCAAAGCCACCATGATGTCTCATCATGCCGTAAGCAGAGAAGCAACCATCTAACCAGGTATATTATAGTTAAAGTAAGACCTCGTCGCAGCTGACTGCATAAGCTCTGCATGTCTCACCTCTTCACCTCAGCACCTAGAAGTCAATGTAACCTTCCCATCTCATCTACTTACCTGTTTCTTTGCTTCTTTTCATAAATCATCTATCTGCATATAGTGAAAATAAATTAAGGTTACCATAGGGCCGATGGTGTACTTCTCCGCGTGGTCGATCGATCGGGTCATTAGAGCCGACGTCCACGCCCTGGACCGTTAGCTGTACGAGTCCAGCCGAGGCTGGTATTTCTTGCCATCGAGTTGATAACAATGACTGTTCCGCTTGACTCTCCAGGTCTAGGAGATTTGCTCCGTGTAGTTGCAATTTTTTATGATTGCAAGGCATGTGAATCTTGTTGACAGTTTGTTTTCTTGATAGATACGATCTGTCAGCAGGTATATATGCAACCAAGTAGCCTTATGGTATTCAGAGTAGGAAACTTAGGCCGATACATGAGTCCATACAGCCCCCGTCTTCATCTAGCTAGGGTTATCTATAGGCAGCATTCCCAGTTTGCGACTGCATCCACAGGTCACTGTCACTAACTCCAGGAACCGCAGTAGCCTAGATTAATGTCTGTAAGCACTGGGGCAACTCTGGATACTGCTGCCATCCAGGGTTTAGACTGCTGGCTGTACCCAATGGTTAAGTCTCTGCCAACGCCAGTGGACGCAGTCATGATATGGATCACAGTGGGGAATGATTTTCCATGAATAGGGTCGACTCACGTCGGCAAAGCTATCCTGGATCTTCAACATGGCTGAACAAGTCTATACCGCACTCTTCTGAGTAGTGTGCTGTGATAGTAAGTCTGAGACTGTCAGCCACTGAAACGGGCATATAAAAGCCAGACAACCTCCCGACAAAGCTATCTCCAGAAACCAGACCCAAACACATCATCAACAAAACAAAACCTCGCCACACAATCACAATGTCCCTCAAGACCACCCTCACCACCCTCCTCGCCCTGGCCCTCACCAGCAGCGCCCTCGCAGCCCCCCCAGACCTAACCAAGCGCGCCTCCGAAACAATCTACCTCTCCAACTGCGTCACCACCGGCGCCGCCTACAGCAAAAGCGGCATGTTCTACTACTCCGCCAGCGAGGACTCGCAGAACGGGGCGTCGCCGTCCAGCGGCAACTACGCGACCGTCAACGGCGGCAGTCTCGTCGGGTGGGAGGGCGCGACTGTGTCGGGCACGTTCGGCTCCGGCGTGACGTTTACTTCGAAGATTGAGGGGGGTGCTCATGCGGCTTATTCGTACTCTGGGAGTGGGTCGAATGGGTATAGGAACTTTGCGTGCTATCGGGATAATGAGAGGTTGTTGTTTACGGGGTCGGAGAAGTGGGGGAAGTGTTATAGTGTTTATTATTGTTTGTGAGTCTTTTTTTATGGGTGGGTTGTATGGTGGGGGGTACCTGGGAGGTGGTGGAGTGTAACCATGTGGATGGACGGTTGCTGGGGATAAAGTCGAGGAGATCAACCAGTAGGCCATCCAATTAAGAGGATTCAAGCATACATAGAACTCAAAGACACGAGTAAGTAATACCTGCTACCTTTCTGATGGGTTGTTTACTCTACAAGATTAAGTCCGTGCACAGGCTCTATATAACGCAGTCCCAAATCGTACATCATCCGTCATGTAGCTACCGAATAGACCTCCCCCTTAGTAGGTAACAACATGGGCGAACCTTGGGGCTATTTATTGTATACAGCCAGTCACGACATCACAACGTCAGTATCTCAAACCGCTACAAGTATACCGCGGAATTGCGACACGGTTGCGTAGTAGCATCCTCCCCGCCCTCTCGGGAGGGAACCTTCTTTATCAATCCCTTCACCGGCAAAGCCCACAATTCTATAAATTCTACATATCAAATACCCCCCCTCAACCCTGCAACCATGAAATCTATAGTATATATAAGCCTGTGCCTATGCCTGTGCCTATGCGTGTTTAGTTCTCAAATGCCAGCCCCCAACCCCAACACCCACCCCAAGCCAAAGCCCAAACCAAACAACAACAACAACAACACCAGCTACTCAATGCACCCCTCCCTCCACGAAGCCGTCAGACAGCGCCTCCTAGACACCAACCTAACCCTCACCTTCCACGCCACCGACTCCCCCGCGGGCAGCACCCACGAATACGACACGAGCATCATGGGCCGCTTCGTCTGCCCCAACCGGGCGTGCAACACACGCGGCTGGACGAGCAAGAAAGTCGCTATCACGATCCGCATGTACCCTGGGGGAGAGTACAATGCGCGCGTGTACCACCAGCGCTGTAGGAGCTGTCATCGGTTGGCGAGGCCCGTGCTGGATGCGTCGTATGCGGAGAGGGTGGCGTATCGGTTGAAGAGGTGGTGTGGGGTGGGGGAGTTGGTGGGGCCGAGTTTTGTGGGAGTTGGGGCTGGGGCTGGGGTAGGGGGGAGAGGGGGGAGGAGGAGTGATGCGCCGCATGAGAGTTGGTTGTGTGAGGGGTGTCGGGTTGGACGGTGTGCTGCTGCTGCTGCTGCTCTTGATGCTGTGGTGGAGGAGGGGGAAGGGGAAGGGGGTAGGGGATTTGTTGGGGTGGGGAGTGGTGGTGTGGACAAGATGGGGGGTGGGGTGGATGGGCCTGGATGGGGATGGGGAAGGTGATGCCGTGGTGGTTGTAGATAGGGTTACTTGCGAAGGCCAAATGTGTTATGATATCTTTTTGTATCCGGGGGGTTGATTTCCTTGGTGTTTACACCAAGGGAAAATCATTTGGAGAGGTGGGATCTTCTGGTAAAAGGCAGATCTATTGTGAGAATGAGGACTTTTGGTGTTGGGATATCAGACATGTCAAGCCCTACCAAGTGTTGAATCGGTATTTGGTGCAGTTGTTGAGGTTGAGGTAGTGATATAGATTCAGGTCTTGGGAATAAATAGCGTTGATTTATTAGTTTTGATAGTCAGTTTTATTATTGAGAATGGATACAGTTGCTTGAATATTTGTTGGAAACGGCTGATATAACAGCTAGTATGGTTGGGTTGAAGACTGTTGCAAATGGCGAGTATACCGAGTAGTTTATTGGGGCTATCTTCATGTATACCAATCTGGGACCCCCGCCTCTACATCACTAGCCTAGTAAACCAGCAATTAAAGCCAATAAATTGACAGTACATGCAGTGCATAGTACACTGCCCAAGGAATGCTAGACAAACCCTATACTACGGAATACAGCCTCTCCATCCAACCCTCCCCAGAACCATCCCAGAGCACGAGGTGATTCATCACATCGATCCAAGCAACCGTCAAACACTATTCCCGCCAAGCTCGACATATCAGAAAGCATGTTGGCGTCAATAGTTTGGGAGACAGACGGATAGATACTCAATTATGTCGGTAGGTCCTCCGTACTAGGTATGAAGCATGCATGTGCCGCAGATCATTAGCCAGCCGCACCTGTCAAACGGATCTTCGAGAAGCTTCGTCTGACTTGGGGGTTAACGGTGATGGGGTTCTTTCCTGATGTACTCCGTATGTGTGTACTGCCTTGTGGAAGGGTATGGATCCCATTGTGATTCCAGCTAATACCCGAGGATGGTACGTGGCAAGACGACCTGAGTCAGTGTTTGACACGGCAGCTGGTCATGATTAAGTAAATGTTATGGTTCTTCAGTTATGCCGAGTATATACCGTATATACCGGTGAGGAGATTGCACAAGGACTGCATCCCAAGCTAGGACAGGATGCACAACGAGCTGGGAATGTTTCAAGGGTCTTCTTTCATCTGGATCCCTGTTTCGGTAGTCCCTTGCAGTATGGCACTTGATATTCGACACGGGTACTACACTCTGTAACGATATCCATCTATTTATTGATTGGATTATTGGTTGTTTTGTGGAATGATGATGGGTAGACTTGGAGTTTATTTGTTTATTTGTGGATTTACGTCATCCAGAGCTTGACCTGACCTGACCTGACCCTGATCGAGATGTTTATCGGGGTTCGATCAGGAACTGGAGGACTCTGCACTCGGATCCATGGTGTGATTCTGCTGCGGGCCGCCACTGGGGCGCTTTGATTGGTTGGGGGCGGGATCTTTCGTCGCCGAGATTTTTCTAGTTGGGTTTTCTATTTACCCCTGACTTGTTTGACACAGTGCTATATTGATTTGGGGGGGGGAGAAGAAAATCAAGAGAGAGATATAATAAAGAGAGAATAGATCTCTCTCTTCATTGTATCTTCTAGATTATTCCGTTGTAATTATTTTGTATAATGTGAAGATGGACTGGTGATGCCTGGTATTTGAGGCTGGCTGTAATCATGAAACACCCGTCAGGTACCTACCTAGGGACCTAGGTAATGATCATAGAGTCAGGGAGTCATAGACCCTGACAGCTCTTTGTCGGTGTCTGTTGGAGAGGTTGGGCAACGGTCGTATGGGATACCACTTATCTAGTACCAACATGCAGGTTGAATACTGTCAATTGGTCAACGGCTGACTTCTGAGATCTTGTTGTTGAACTGTTAGGGTTCATTGATCGATTGAAAAGAAAAAAAAAATAAAAAATAAACAAATTAATTAAATAAATAAACAAGTAAATCTCATGTAGATAAATAAACAATGAATCAAAAAGATCGACTGGATTTATCTTCACACTGACAGGAAGGAAAAAAAAGGAAAGGAAAGATCAATGATTCCAGGTTGGACATGTCTGTAGGGAAGTCGTTAACAGGAGTCGGGTGGTACATGAAAAGAAAGAGTAGCTCTAGTATGGATCAGTTCCATGGACCGATCGATGCGCTGGATGGCCAGGTCTAAGAAGGCTGCAGCGTCCTATAGTAGAGGCAGTAAGGTCGGTGGCCCCCCTTTCTTCCGCCCCAGCACACTCCGCAGACCCAATCCAATCCTCTGTCTGTCTGTCTGTCTCTCTCCCTCTTCCCTCACTCCGTCTCTCCTCTTCCCCTGTTCTCTTGTCCTGTCCTCTCGTTCAACCTCCTCTTTAATTTTGGATTTAATTTTTTTTCTTCTTCTTCTCCTTCTATTTTCCCTTCTATCTGGTTATTTATATTATATCCTTTGATCAATCCAATCCCTCGTTATTGGTCATTTCCCCTGTCGCTCTTCCTACCTAGAATAGATCTCTGCTCCGCTCTTCACTGCTTAGTGGTGTTGGAGATTCGTGGTCCATTCAATTCCACACCACCTTCCAAACCCACCATCTCCAGGTACTTTTCCAGATTCCCATATTCCACCTTCCACCTGCCATCTTTTATCTTCCCTCTCATCCGTCGCTCTTTCCCTTCCGTGATCACCTTCCATGCCGTGACCCGTCAACTCCTTCTCCATACCTTTCCTCTTCCGCCCGCCTTCCGCTAACCAGGTCGCCGCTGCCCGTTCAGGGGAACCTTTCTCTTCGACGTTCGCTACCTCCACGCTCGCTTCCACCACCCAGAACACCTGCAATGGGTAAGTCCGTCCCATCTCGCTCCTCTCTCTCTCTCAATCGATCCATCGTCTCCTCTTCGCGTCCATCCCCCATTGTCTCCCCCAACCTGTCCCCGTCTATAATCTCCCCGATCCTCGCGCGTTCCAATCCCAATCATGGCCCAGTGCACCCATCAGGGTGCGGGTATCCACTTGCTCGATGACAGCAAGGTCCCCCCTCTTGCCCCTCTCGAGGACCCCGTGGAGATCAAGATCTCCTCGTCCATCTCGGAATCATCCATTTATGCGTCTTCCGTCCACGCGTCCCGTGGAAAGAGTCTCGATCCCGTCACTGACACATCCGTGGGATTTCCAGCTTCGCCTCCGCCTGCCAATGACACCCCGGTGTCGGGTGCCGAATCCCCGGCCACCAGCCCCGTCGGCTCCCCCTTCGTTGAACGCAGCAACCCCATGGGCTCCGGAAACGCCCAGACGGTCAGCTCCAAGGACCCCAAGGCCGTCGCCCAGGCCGCTACCGATATGAAGAACGTCGTGCGCCGCAAGTTGACCGGCTACGTCGGTTTCGCCAACCTGCCGAACCAATGGCACCGCAAGAGTGTCCGCAAGGGCTTCAACTTTAACGTCATGGTTGTTGGTGAGTCCACCTAAACCCCTACTCCCCAGAGCTCTAAAGTTGACTCTACTAGGTGAATCCGGTCTGGGCAAGTCGACTCTGGTCAACACCCTGTTCAACACCTCCCTCTACCCCCCTAAGGAGCCCACCGGCCCCAGCCACGACATCATCCCCAAGACCGTGGCCATCCAGTCCATCAGCGCCGATATCGAGGAGAACGGCGTTCGTCTGCGCTTGACCGTCGTCGACACCCCCGGCTTCGGCGACTTTGTGAACAACGACGACTCGTGGCGTCCGATTGTCGAGAACATCGAGCAGCGATACGATGCCTACCTGGAGGCCGAGAACAAGGTCAACCGGACCAACATCGTGGACAACCGCATTCACGCCTGTGTCTACTTCATCCAGCCCACCGGCCATTCGCTGAAGCCTCTGGACATCGAGGTCATGCGTCGCCTGCACACCAAGGTTAACCTGATTCCCGTCGTGGCCAAGGCCGATACCCTGACCGACGAGGAGATTGCTCTCTTCAAACAACGAGTATGTACCCATGTCACAATCCACCTTGGAAGACCACACTGACATTAATCCTTTCCAGATCCTTGCCGATATCCAGCACCACTCCATCCAGATCTTCGAGGGCCCTCGCTACGAGCTGGACGACGAGGAGACCATTGCCGAGAACCAGGAGATCATGTCCAAGGTTCCCTTCGCCGTCGTTGGCGCCAACTCGGAGGTGGCAACGGCCGACGGCCGTAAAGTCCGTGGCCGTAGCTACCCCTGGGGCGTGATCGAGGTCGACAACGAGGAGCACTGCGACTTCGTCAAGCTGCGCCAGATGCTCATCCGCACCCACATGGAGGAGCTCAAGGAGCACACCAACAACTCCCTCTACGAGAACTACCGCTCCGACAAGCTCACCCTTATGGGTGTCGCTCAGGACCCCAGCGTGTTCAAGGAGGTCAACCCGGCGGTCAAGCAGGAGGAGGAGCGCGCCCTGCACGAGCAGAAGCTGGCCAAGATGGAGACCGAGATGAAGATGGTCTTCCAGCAGAAGGTGGCCGAGAAGGAGAGCAAGCTGAAACAGAGCGAAGACGAACTCTACGCCCGGCATCGCGAGATGAAGGATCAGCTGGAGCGGCAGCGGATGGAGCTAGACGAGAAGAAGGCCCGTCTCGAAAGTGGCCGGCCGATCGAAGAGAAGGGCAAGAGAAAGGGGTTCTCGCTCCGTTAAGAGGATGTCCTCCTGATTGGAACCCCGGTGCTTCTGTCCCGACGTGGGTGAGAGGACAGGTTCTACGTTTGACTCCACGACCGTCGATTGACCGCGTGCTCTTTCTCCTCCCATTCTCCATTTCTTCTTCTTGTGCTTATTTGTTCCTTCGCCCGACGCTCCCTCGCTCTCTTCTTTCTTCTCGTCCCTGCTTCTAGTAATGACGCTGTCTTGGCTGTTTTTTTTTCCCCCTCTCTATTTTTGCGTGTTTCCGCTCTGGGTGGGCCGAGGAAAATAAAACGGATGTTCTCTCTGTTTCTTTCCTCCCCTTTTCCACCGGACTAATATTCCCTTGGGGGCGTGACTAGGAGATGTGCTGGAACACGGGGGCTACCACCGGACAGGTGACGCGCTTTGCCTGTCTGTGCGGTCTGGACCTTGATCTGCAAGAGGAGGCACGGGGGGGACGGCCTGCGACCGGACGCCGTGCTGGGGAGGGGGGTGTTTTCCATGTTCTTGCCTCATGTCCACCTTTCACTTCTTGTTATGTACTTTTGCCTACGCTATACCTTTGTTCCGCTGGTTTCCTATTCCCCATTGTGACCTATTACCCTTACCCGAGTATTTTCTCGACTTGTGTCCGTTATCTTCTGTGCACCTGTTTTGTCCTTTTTTTTTTATTACTCATTTTAGTGAACTCGCCCACCCGCCGACTATCTTTTCTGGATGTGACTTTCCTTTTTTTCTTATTTCTTTATTTTCCTCTCCGCAGTCTGTGTTAGTCAATTCAAAATTTGTTCTACCGAAATTCTATAAAAAAAAATTGGTCGACGTGTTGATGCTTGGTATACTATTGTCGTATTAGTAGGTATATACTCGAGAAGCACGGAAAAGAAAAGTGGGAGAAAACCAGGAAAAAGGGCACGAAAGAAACAAGAAAGAAAACCAAGCAAAGATCCTCAGATAGACCAGGCAAGATCCAAACAGATCGAACCAGGAACTCCCGATTGTCCAGAGTGGAGACGACCATGGACATTGTGATGTTCTCAGGTGAGTCGAGACGTCACCGGAAGCGACTCGGCACTACCAATACCAGCAGTACCTACGGAGTACCTGCTAAGTATTTCTCTCTCCCCCCAACCTGACTGTCTAAGCTTCTCTTGCCATCCGACACTTAACTCTCTCTGTACTTCTCCCCGCCCAGCCCCCTTCCCAAACCGAGAAACAGAGGGACAGCAAAAAATAACAGAAGAGAAAATAAAAGTGGACTGCCCCATTCCCTTCCACCGCCTAATTCATCACCCTCTCTAAGCTCTTCTCGGCTCCCCTGTTTTCCAACTTAGTCTTGTCTCTTATCTCTCTCTTTACCGTAGCTCTCCCTCCCTGAGCTCCTTCACTCCTCCACCCCCCCCTCTCTACCTGTCGACAACTCTATCCGAGGTTACGAAATTCCCTGGAATCGTTTCTCATGGCTCCTCCTCCTCCCTCCACTTTGCCCTTGGGCGAAAGGTTGAAGGCTTTGGCCCAGACCCTGCAGTACGTGATCTGTCCTTTCCTGCTGGAGAGATTCTCTTCTCCTCGCCAGCTTGCGTGAACCGTGAACTGTGAACTAACCAAAGGATCCGCCCGGACAGATTCGCCTGGTTTGCTGGGTAAGTTTCCCCCCCCCACATGATTCGGCCAACTCGCCGCCAGCACATCCCTTTATGACCGCCTTTCTCCCGACTGGCCTATCTTCCCTTTCCGCGTCATCCAGATTCAAGCCCTGGAGCCTGAAGCTGGACGTTGACTAACGAGCGTAGACATGTGACCCTGCTCATTTCCGTCTTCCGATACACCCTGTCTTATGCGACCTTCAACTACTATTCCTCCGCCGCCCAGTTTACCTATCGTCTGGCGTTCCTGTCGGCTGCGGTGACCTACGGGATTGTGGTATACAAGGGACACATTGCTCGGGGCCGTCTCCAGGGCAGCGTCCCCAGCATCGTGTTGAAGCTCGCTAGCGACGAAAATGTCCAATACCTTGGTGAGTGACACTGGGATCTCGTTATTGATTTCGAGAATGATCGGCTGACAGACAGCTAGGGATGGCGTTGGTCTGGCTGTATTCGCGGCAGATCCCTTTGGCACTCCTGCCCTTCAGTGTCTACTCCATCTTCCACGTCGCGACTTATTCTCGGGCCCACCTGATTCCCACCCTGCAGCCCCCGGCTGCGGGCGCCGGTCCGGCCTCGCCTTCGTCCCCGAGCTCTCGACCGGCCGCGAGGCAGTCGCCCCTGGCCGACACCATCGGCCGATTCGTGAAGCAGTACTACGATGCTAGCATGGACTTGGTCGCGGGACTCGAGATTGCGCTCTTGTTCCGCCTGGCGGTCTCGATCCTGACCTTCTCCAAGGGCAGCTTTCTCCTCTTGGCCATCTACCTGGCCTTCTTCCGCGCCCGTTACTCCCAGAGCTCCTTCGTCCAGCAGGCTGTCCGTTATTTCACCGCCCGCGTCGATGCCTCGGTCTCGCACCAGAGCACCCCGCCGGCTGTCCGTCAGGGCTGGGAGACTTTCAAGGGCGTGGTGCGCCGCGGCTACGAAGCGACCGACACGAGCCGCCTGACCTCGGCCGGCAAGAAGCCTCAATAAACAGCGAGCGGAGCGAGACGGGTGTGGGGAGGCAAATCGCCGGAACGAGCCTACGAGTGCAGTGGATTGCTTTTTGGTCGGACCGTCTTGGAGGGTCTGCATGGCCGGGCCTACTCGCACTTGGCTAGCGCTAATCAACCAACGTGCCGTCGGTTCCTGCGTTACAGTGGGATCGTGGCAGCCGTATGAACGGGGTGGGGAAAGTATGTGTACATGGTGGAGGGATGGATCGAAGATGTAGTGTCACGGGTACCGTGACCAGGGCGCAACTGCTTCAGATGCGATTGTTTCTATAGCGCGGCATGTGTGGATTCCGAATGTGGTTATAATACGAATGAATGCTTTTATGTCCTATTCTAGTTTAAGTGGCGTCATACGGAGTACTCCGCAGTAACCAAGGGACCTGTGGCCACCGATTATTCAGCAGCTCCACGCCTGAGGCCAAAACTCGGTGTTCGGGCGGCGGAGAAAACAGGCAACCGATCGGACAGAAAAATATCTCATCGGGACGGACTTCCCATCTCACCTTTCAGCCTGAAAACAAAAAAAAACAAAAATTAATCTGAGTCCTTATTTGAGGTGCAATGTTTCCTTTGCCCACCTCCCAACCCTCGTTGGAATCTGTATAATTGATTTATTCATCGTTTCATATCTACCTTAGCTTGGGAAATCAATTCCCTCTCATTCTTTCTTGTTCTCTTCCTCATCGGGTGGCGCCCCGTCCTCCCCCATTCGAACCTACCTCCGCCCGCCGCATCCCCGTGGTCTGGTCCGCACCACGATCTGGTGGATTGCGGTGTTTTTCGATTTCTTTTTGCAATGAGCTTGACATCGCGCGTGTTTGGCCTGTTCACAACGACAGAGAACTCGGCTTCGAATTCAGACGCCCCTGCGGCGCCCTCGACCTCACAGTCGCAAGCTGCGACACCCGCCGGCGACCATGCTTTCCAGACGGCGGGCTCGATGAGCAGTCGGGTGCAGACTGCACCGGCGTATAATGAGGAGGAGGAGCCGCGGCCGCCTTATCTTCATGTATGTCTCCCTTCATTCAGGGTTCGAGGTGGCTATTTCTTTACCTATGCTAACTTGTATGCTGGATAGGCAATGCTTGCAGGAGGTACGGGCGGAACTTGTGGAGATATGCTCATGCATTCGCTCGATACGGTCAAAACGCGGCAGCAGGGCGATCCGACGTTCCCGCCGAAATACCATTCGATGACTTCGTCGTATGCTACGATCTATCGACAGGAGGGGCTGATGCGTGGACTGTATGGTGGTGTGACGCCTGCGCTGTGGGGGTCGTTCCCCGGGACGGTTATATTCTTTGGGATGTATGAGTTCACGAAGAGAAAGATGATCGATGCGGGGATCACGCCGGATTTGGCGTATCTGTCTGGAGGCTTCTTTGCCGATCTGGCTGCCTCTGTGGTGTATGTGCCGTCCGAGGTCTTGAAGACCCGGTTACAGCTGCAAGGCCGCTTCAACAACCCCCACTTCCCGCAATCCGGCTACAACTACCGCGGGACGACCGACGCCCTCCGCACGATCATCCGGCAAGAAGGCTTCTCGGCGCTCTTCTACGGATACAAGGCGACCATCTTCCGCGACCTGCCCTTCTCCGCGCTGCAATTCGCCTTTTACGAACGGGAACACCGGATGGCGATCGACTGGATGGGCTCGCGGGACATCGGATTGGGACTGGAGATCTTGACAGCGGCAACAGCCGGCGGGATGGCAGGCGTGATCACCTGCCCGATGGACGTGGTCAAGACGCGCGTGCAGACGCAGAAGAACCCCGAAACCACAGCGACAGGCCCCGCCAAACCGGCTTGCGAACCCGCCTCCACCAAGGAAACGCCCCGACAACACCAACACCACTCCACATCTACTACCTCATCGAGTTTGCGGGCACACTCACGGTACATCTCCCACTCGTCGCCGTCGACGTCGGTGCCGCCGCCCGGCACGCCCCGTCTGGACACCTCGTCGTTCTTCACTGGTCTGAAGATGATCTACCAGACGGAGGGGGTCGCCGGGTGGTTCCGCGGGGTGGGGCCTCGAGGCGTGTGGACGAGCATCCAGAGCGGAACGATGCTGGTCTTGTATCAGTATCTGCTGAAGCAGCTGGACAGCTATCAGAGCGTGGGGGAGACGACCCCTCTATAGTCCTTCCTTCTTCCCTCAGGTTGACAGGGGTGCGACATGCAGTGTAGATAGACGTGGACAGGCGTTCCGGTGGGGTTGTGGCATGACTTGGTTTTTGTTTGATTTGGATCTGGACACGATCTTTCTCCCTTCCCTTTCTTTCTGTTTTCTTTCAGGGTGTCATGTTTGATAGTGAAACCCCTTGTATACAACGTTTGGGAGATTTGTACGGCTTACATAGATCTTAGACTAGGATAATCATGCCAATGTATTATATGTTAGACTTAGCCTGCCTTACTGAGGAACTCACACCCACCTCCATGTCAAAAACGTCACACCCATTCCCCTACTGAGGTAGGTACAAGGTACCACCACCCAAGAGGGGCAAGGCAGGGCAAATTAGTCCCTGACAGCAAATCCCACCAACCCACCACGCTAAGAAATGATCAGCAACAACAACGAAGCGATCGAGTGTTTTGAGTTCTTTATTGAGACGGGGCGAACATGTAAACAAAGCCCAACGCGGGTCCGCCTTGGTATTTCACACATCTGATTGGCTGGGATGGTATTATTACCGTCTGATCATCCTTTATCATGAGGTGTATTGTTTATAATACAATACAGCAGGTACAATGAGGGAATTGACCTAATATCTTTGCTTCCCCCGGGTTCTTCATTTTTCACTCTGTTGACTTACTTACCTGCTTGTTTATATAACTGGGTTGGTATTCCTTCTTTGCATTTCGATATCACTACCTACTATCCTTGTTGTTTGAGTTGGAATTCTACACTCGATACCTGGCCTTACTATATTGATCGGATCGGATTGATACCCACCTACTACCCCATTTAATCCCCTTGCTGTCCCAGTCATCGCATGGTTCCTCGGTGGATCTCCCGCGCGCATCGTCATCATCATCATCATCATCATCAACACCATCAACCAACACCATAACTGCAACTACAACTACAACTACAACCAACAATGTCAGCAGCCGTACCATACCTGCAAAAGCTGCGCAAGCCGCAGCTCGCTGAACTAGCTGAGATTACTGATCTCCGGTAACTTTCAACCCTCCCCCGCGCCAATGTTTGTCGCAAGCCCACGCTGATTCACGTAGCAACCACGAAGACTACAACAAACCGGAACTCGTCCTCGCCCTCGACCAACATCTCCAGGCTAATCACTCCATCTTCGCTACAGATAAGCGCCTCGCGAACTACTATAGCCGTCTGGCGACGCGCTCGCGCGGCGTGTCTTCGCCTGCGAAGAGGGATCTTAAGCATGAGGTTACGCCCCCGACGGATGGCGTCGCGCGTCGTCGGACGACGCGTTTGAAGGAGGAGCCGGTTCCGACGTATGTTTCATCCCATTTCCCTTCTTCTTCTACATTATCTTCCTGCTATCAAAGCGAATAAACAATCTAACCAACTAATCAGCGACGACTCCGACTCCCCATCCCTATCGCGCACGCCAGCCCGCGACCTCGTCACCGTGCAGCCCCCCCTCCCCCCCTCCCCCGCAATCGTCACAGACGCCATCGACCGCCAAACGGCCGAAATCCGCCGCTCCATCAGCGAAGCCTGGACCGGCTCCGGCGTCGAAGAGCGCTCCAGCGCCCTCCGCGCAACCCTCAGCAGCGCCAAAGCCATCCAAGTCATCGCGCTCCTCCTCGAAGCAGCCAGCCTCGTCCACGAGCTGCTCCCGCTGCGGTATCTAACCACCATCCCCGCCGTGCAGGCTCTCCACACCCCCGCCTACCCCATCAAGGTCCCCGACCTGTTCGTCCTCGTCGACGGCGTCTTCTGGGCGCCCATCTCGCTGTGGTTGCTTACCTCGCTGGTGTTGCCGCTGCTCGCGTCTTACTTTTTTAACTTCCGCTTGAATAGCGCCTCCCGTGGGAAAGGAGGGGGGGCGAGCAGCTTTGATCCGTTGAGTTTTAATCTGGTTAAGGCTCTCGTGTCTTATTTTGTGTATGGGCGCGATTTTGACTTCTTTGGGGCTTATGTCTTTTCGACGGTGCATAAGGTTGATATGGCTGTTCCGGGCCAGTGGCGTGGGACGGTGGCTGGTGCTGTGATTGGGATCGTGGGGACGCTTTATGAGGAGATTTTGAGGCGTTGATGGTGTATTGCTTATATATCATTGATATGATGTGATTGGGGTATTCCCCAGGTGTGGATCTGAATGATGGATGGATTGTGGATGGTAGGTACGGATGGATGGTATAGTATATGGGAAATGGGCTTGTTTGGTTTGGTTTGATTTGATTGATTCAATTGTTGGAGTCTGTCTATTCGATTCGATTCATGCTGTCGGAAGGTCACGGTGTTGGCGATGAGACGGTACAGTCAACGTGATATCCTTGTTTTTTGTTCTTGATTTTACCTTGGTTGATGGCGTGTTGGTTGATGTTATTCTTAGTTAGGTAGCTGGATGATGAGTATGAGTATTAGTATACTATAACTTGGATTGATCGATATTGTTTGTAAGATGGTAGACATATTAACGCTGAGCTTATAGCAGGTAGTTGCAGTCTGCCTCTAGATATCTATCATCTATCCATCCATCTAGCTCGTAGATCTATCTTCTATAAACACTAAACCATATCCTACCCACAAATAAGGCACGTACTGTATATAAGTAAGTGAGCATGCAACCCAGCCCACCCAAAGAATCCCAACAAACAACAACTCATTCTCCCCAAAAAAGAATAAAAAATCTAGAGAAAAAAAAAAAAGAAAGAAACTACCTAATACTCCGCTTAAACCTCCCCGCCAACTCAACCGTCACCAAAACAGCCACCCCGTCCACATGTATCTCCACCATATCAGCCCGCACGTGGTTACTCGTGCTCAGCTGCCCGCCGATCTCGGTCTTCCAGTCGGTGACATCCCATTGGAGGCCGTGCGTTGTGATTCGGGCTGGGCCCGAGAGGGGGATTATGCCGATGTTTTCTTCCAGAAGATAGTCTTCTTTTTCTTCTGGGGCGGGTTTTCGTTCTTGGGTTGTGGTAGTGGTGGTGGTGGTGGGAGGATGGTGTGGTCGGTTGGTTCGGGGGGTGGAGATCTTGTTTTGGCCCGGTTGGAGGATGAAGGTTATGCTTTCTGAGGAGATGAGGTAGAGGTTGTTTCTTTTTCTCTTTCTTGGTCTTTCTGTTGGGGAGGCGGCGTCTTTTTGGGTTGTAGATTGCTGTTGCTGCTGCTGCTGCTCCTCCTGCGTCATAAGGTACAGATGATGGATTTGCGAGAAAGCCTGATCGACACGACCGCCTAGCCCGCCCATAATGAGAATTGAGAGGGAGGGTTTTTCTTCTTCTGCTGCTGCTGCTGCTGCTGCTGCTTCTGCTTTCTCTGCTGCTGATGATGGTGATGAGGACGACTGAGAAGGCAAAAAGTCACCCTCGTGCGAGCGCAAATATTTCAAAGCCTTGGTGAAATCCGTCGAGTACTGATCTGCGTCGTGGACGATAGACACCCCATGCTTTTCGTAGTGGGATCGCACGTGCGGTTTGATGGAGTCTAGGTCGCCGATTATGAGGGTGGGGAGCTATACTTGCATATTAGCATATTGAGATTGTGGCGTTGGTTTTGGTATTTTGTATGTGTGTTGTGTTGTGTTATGTTTTGTTGATGTATGTACATGTATATTGTATGAACATGTATAGGATAGATACATACATCAGTATCCTCTTTATCATGCCCCTTCATCATCTCATAGAAATGGTTCGCGCCACCGTCGGCGCAGACGATGGCCCGTGCTATTGTTTACTTAGTTAGCATGTGGCTTACCAGCAGGGACATATATTCTCATATATTTATCATATGTACAATACAACACAATCAACCCTGCTGATCTAACAGAGAGGAATAAACATACCACGTCCAGCCAACACCCCAAAGGCATTCTCGTTGATTGGCTGATTCAGCACGAGCAGAGCAAACGGCGCGGGGGGATCGTCGTCCGTGCGGAAGAATTGGGTGGGATCCCACTCCATCTTGACTGTCTTCTTGGGAAGACTTGGGGGTTGGTGGAATAAAAGAGTGTAGGGGCTCTTGGCTGGTATGATTGATTATAGATATGGGGTTGGACTTGGAGATGGAAGGGATGTGATGTCAGGATCTTCGGAAGGGCTTAGCGAGCGGAACCCGTGATCTTATCTTGCTTTTTTGTCGGACTTGCATATTGATCTTCTTTTTGGATTTTGATGTTGAATATTCGCATGCTCTTATAGATTTAATAACAATGACCGACGGCTACTTGGGTTCACTTGAAAAATTTCTATGGATTACAAGTCCAGTGTTCAAATAGTTTAAAGTGGTTGGGGTAATGAACTATCAATGAGTATTTCAGACATGTAGTCTTCTGAGGCTATCTAAGTAGATAGACTGTATGATACTCATCCCATCCGTCTTCACGGCATTATAGGTCCTCATCTACTGCCGAAGTGACTGTATGTTGCTGCCAGCGGAAGCTATTTTCATCCATATTGTAGCCATCCTGGGTAATCTCGGACTGATGTGCCATTCCCGCCGTATGGAGCAGGCACAGTAGATATCCAGTTCCAGTGTATACGCTTGCCTCCACACTCATAGTCCCGATCTTCATCGTCATATACTGGCTGCGACCGGATACCGACATACGATCGCGAGCACAACTGTAGATTCAACCGTCTTGTCCTCTCTTGCTCGTTTCTGCGCTGATTACATGGCTGACTGTCGTGTTATCGACGTATTCCACAATCTGGCCACCGCTGTATATATGATGACATCCTTCTTTTCTGGCCAACGGGCGGCTAGGAGGTTTATTCCTAGACCAGCCCTATTGCGAGTCAGGCGTCATAGAAGGCTGGGGCTAGGATTCCATCGCTGAGCCGGCGGCTGCTCCTGACTTCGATGTTGGCATTTTATCTGGGGAACGCCTCGACCGTGGTCTGGTCTTTCGGAACCGTCCACCGGGGTAGCCATGAAGGTGTTTCTATCGAAAAATGGCCATAATGCTGGTTCCTCCTACTATCTTGATGATGATTGTATCGTATGCATTAAGTCAAATAAGAACGACGAGTAGATACAAGTGAGAGGAAAGACTGAAGTATTCTGTCAGTGAATGATGCATGACGTACAAACCGGCTGTGTCAACCGCGGTAAAAAACGTGACGAACGGGTAGAGACACCTCAGGCCACGACATATTCCTTTCTCTCCCGGATCGGGCCCGCCCTCGTCCATCATCTTAATCTTGTCTTTCCATCCGTGCCGCCAATTGTCGCTCTGATCCCCGGGCTTCACCTCCCTCACTCTCTTTATCTGGTCCTTCTTTCTTCCTTCTTATCGTTTTTCTCTCTCCACCCCCCTCCCCCCATCCTCCCCGTCATGTTTCGTCCCGCGTCCAGAGCGCTCCTCCGCGCTCCGACTGTCGCAGTTCGTGGCCCGGCCACCAAGCGATTGATAAGCACCGGTCCCGCCGAGACCAAGTCGAGGAGTTGGAAGAATACCGCTATCCGGTTGGGGTTGGCTGTTGGCGCTGTATACTACTATAACACGAGCAGTGTGTTTGCGGATCAGCCGTCGTGTATGTGAAAATTCGTCCGGGAGACCCGTGCCTCTTCCATCCCATCCCGGGGGAAACAGGATGAAAGCAAAAGAAACCCACGCACGCACAGATAAATAGAGAGAGAGAAAGAGAGAGAAACTAACTGAGACAGTCTCCTTCCACCGTCAACCCCAGGCCGATTCCGAGCCCTCCTCCCCCCCAACCCTCGACTCCATCACGCCTCGCATCCGCGAAGAAAGACAACAGCAGAAGCCCGCCCGTGCGCCCGCCGATGGCAGCAATGCCGTGAAGTCGGCCGAGGAGCTCGAGGAGGAGGCCGGCCAAGAAGCCGCCTTCAACCCCGAGACCGGCGAGATCAACTGGGACTGCCCCTGCCTCGGCGGCATGGCGCACGGCCCGTGTGGAGAGGAGTTCAAGGCGGCCTTCAGCTGCTTTGTCTACTCGCAGGAGGATCCCAAGGGAATTGAGTGCATTGACAAGTTCAAGTTCGTACCTCCCTGTTACTCCGTTCGGTGGTGTTTCTGGGAGAGTGGAGGCACAGTGGGAGTGTGAGATTGATGGCTGACATGAATTGACTACAGGGGCATGCAAGACTGCTTCCGGGCGCATCCTGACGTGTACGGTGCCGAGCTCGAAGACGACGACGAGGCTCCCCAGGCCCAAGCCGAAGCCGAAGCCGAAGCCCCTGCCGCAGCCGCCTCCGCAGCCGCCATTGAAGCGCCCATAACCGCAAACGAGATCGAGGCTGCCTCTGCACCCGAAGAGAAGCGCACCGAGGCCCGCGAGGTCCTCTCCCAGGTGAAGACCGATGCCGCTGTGCAAGGCGAGCTGGCTGAGAGCGACAACCTGATGCCCAAGGCCTGGCACGACACCGAGAGCAAGAACGACAACCCGCCGGAGAAATAGAGAAACCTAGCCCACATTCGTTGGCATAATCTTAGAAGCGAAGAAGAAAAAAGGAAAGTCTGTGGACGGGTAAAATTATAGGGGACGATAATCCATCACTGCTGCGTGTTGTATGATCAATGAGATAAACCTTGTTTGATTTGATATAAGTCGGGACTCGAAAGGTCAGTCGCGCTCTTTGTATAGTGGAATTATATACCCTCCATCTTTTTTTCTTTACCCCTATGCTTGAGGTCTTGAGGTCTTTCATGTCATTTACACTGTCTCCAAGACCCTATTGATCGTCCTGGCTTTTTCTCCCCACATCTCCTTCATTTCAATGTCTTTTCTTACTTACTCTTGTTTGTTCTTTTCCAGCATCCACTCCATTCCCACTTTGCCCTGCCCTTGCACACCTGTGTGGCCTTTGCCTTTTGCCTTTCCCCTCGCTTCTCCACTATCATGTAACTTAGTGTACTTGTAGGTCGTGGCATTCCGGAGAAGATAGAAATAGATCTGTTCTTTTGTCTGGAGCGAGTATTTGTAACTGACACATTGTACACCCAAAGTAAGAGAGAGAAAGAAAAAGCAGATCATATTTATTCGCATTGATTTATTGATTTATTTTAGAGGAAAAAAAAGGAGAACTGATCAATCTAGCTAATAGATAAGAAAAAGAGAAACAATAGGTCTGTCTGTCTGTCTGCTGTGGTGACCCGTCCGTCCACAGGCTGCTCTGTTTTAACAAAGGCCCAGGTTGGATGGAAATTTTCACTTCTACCTATACCTATCGTACAAGGCAGTATTAGATAGATATCAGCATTCTTTTTTTCCTCGAGATTCCACCACCCGACTGGACTGTGTTTCAATGAGTGAGCTTCTCCATCGACTGCCTCTCTCTATCTTTCTTTCTCTCTCTCAGTAGTACAACATAGCTAATTAGCTTAGTGCCAACTCGAGTATGTATTCAATTGCCTTGTCCGTTGTCGTTCTGGGATTAGGCATGTAGGTAAGCAAGAGGGCTTTGGAAGCCATGACCAGTAAAATCCGATGAGCCATCGTGGCGGACAGAGGCAATCAACAAAGGCGAGAGCGAGAGCGACGATAACGCATGTTGTGAGGGATGGGTGATGATAAGTGGCTGATAGAGTCTGTCACTGCGATGTATTTGGCCATCCCGTGGGTGGTTCACTCCGTGAGCCGCCTCAGCAGAAGTGCGATTGAATCCTGTCCCGTTCTTTTCCAGTCCTGGCGTGGATGATTGATTGAAAGCATGGTTAGAAATCCTTCCTCTCATCTCCCAAAGTATACGAGCGTGTATGATATGCCGTGTTGAAACAGATACATACATACACCTCCTTTGAAATCCCGAGTGGATAAATGGACGGCGTGGTTGTGTTATCGGGTCCACGGTGTCATCCGTTTACCAGTTCACATCACTGAGTTGAAGCTTGCGAGATCGGAAAGACGTGCGGCCCCCGCTAGACTTATCAGCCTTATTGCTGTTATTGGTGACAGCCGGACGCTTGGTATCCGAGGCCGACTCGGCAGTCTCGGGCTCGTTGGACATCTCGTAGTTCAAGACCAGGTTCTTGATGCGTTGTTGTTCTTCGCGGTCGGCTTGCTGCTGCGTTCTCATCGCGATGGCGAAGCTGGAGTCGGATGGCATGTCGATTTTGCGGGTCTTGTTTTAACATTAGTATCACATCATATCATATCTTTGCTAAGGTTCTCGGGAGTAAATGGATGGACAAACCTGCTGCTTATTCCCCTTCTTCGTCATCAGCGAAAACGCCATCGTATTGTGCTGCGCCGGCGCCGGCGCCGGTGGTGGCTGCTCGGCGGGCGGGGCCGACTCCGGCGGCGCGGCTTCAGCCCCCGCGCCTTCGCGCGCAGATCGCTTCATGGGCAGCGGGATATCGAAGACGGCTTTGCGCTCGAACTTGCGCGAGTCGATGCTCTCTGACATCATCTTTTCAAACTCGCGGTCGAACTCGGCTTCGACTTGGGGGTCGCGTTCCTCTTCTTGGCGGGTGACGAAGATTTCTTCTTCGAAATCGCTGTCTTCGTTCTGTTCGTTGGGCCCGGATATCTGGATCAATTGCTTCCGTTAGCACAAGCATATAAGGTATGAGGGTTTGGGTGGGAAACTCACGTCTGCCTCGCCTTCGTCGCTCGACTCTTGGTCGTCTTCGGCTTCGGGGATCACGTCTTCTTCGAGACCCTCGTCCGATGAGCTGCTGTCGGCATCGTCCTCCTCTGGCTCGGCCGCTCTCTCGGTATCCTGCGTCTTGTAGTTCTGGGCTACTGCTTCACCGAATATCTTGGTGGCTTCCTCCAGGTCGGTCACTAGTTTCCATTGAGGCCGTGTGACCGAGTAGGTGTCCTGGACGAGGAAATCAACGTCCATGGGCAGTGGGTCTTTCGTGCACATGTAGTACTGTAGAACGATTAGCTGTTGCCCTAGTAGTCAGAACGTAATGTAATGTGCATCCTACCTGAAAGAACGTCAAGAAAAAGTCCAGTTTCTTCTTGGCGGAGCCACGGTCAAAGCAGTGTCCGCAGGTATCCAGAAGAGTGCAAACCAGCCGGATACGGAAGAAGTCATCGGGCAGGTCGAGTGGTTGGATTCTCCCTGGAATCGGGGTTCCACCTTCTACGATAACCGTTAACAAATGACCGAGAGAGACAGCGACAAGGCCAACTCACCATAGCCAAACGTGACAATCCGATACAGCGTGTCGAAGATGACCGGCGAGTCGATCATCTTGTAATTGTACAGCTCTCCGAGGTACTTGACTTCCGCGATACGCTTTTGGTTGAACTTGAACTCGTTCTGCTCGAGTCCAAGCGTGATTCGCTCGAGAATGTTGTCCACGATCCCAATCACGAAATCCTGGTGGTATCTGTAGAGAGCGCTGACGAGGATCGCGAGGAGGTGGATATTGCCGTATTTGACCTTGACCGGCTTCGAAAACACACGCTCCAGGATATCAACCACCTGTGGCAACAAGTCAGCACCGAAAAATAAGGCATCCACCAAGAAAACAAGAGACAAATGAGGGATAAAAAGCGCATACCTCTTGTTCCTCCCAATGAAGCTTGCGGATCGACTTCAGAATCTTCGTATAATTCCGCTTATTCATGTCCAGATACACAAGCCGACGAATAAAAGACTCCATAGGCGTGCGCTCCTTCTGCTGAATAGCAGGTCGCGGCGGCGGATCAACATAATACACCGCATTCTCAATAATCATCCGCTCCTGCTGACCAAGATGCTGCACCGTCTTCTTCCGTGTGAGTGTTTCCAGGAACGAAGCCATCCTAGGCGAAGTCTCCGGGTTGCGGAACAAGTACCGACCGCAGTTCTCCAGCAAATGACCGATGATCTCGATGTTCATGCGCGAGAAGTCATCCAGCGAGACCTTGAAGCAGTGGAAGATGATGTGCTCCGGGACGACGCCGAACTTGGTCAGTTCTGCAAGATAGCGGACGTTGCTCATGCGGACTTGGCCCAGGAACTCCTTTGACTTTCGGCGCTGGAGACTGCGGAACTCTTCGTCGAGGTATGTAGTTATTCCCTGCGGGATGTCGGGTAGGTACTGGCCTAGGGTTGCGACAAGGCGGGAGTACAGCGGCAGGAGATCGATGCGGCCCTTGGGGACGTCGGATACGGCCTTGACAAGCCTGTTTCGCGAGGCCTTCGAGTTCACGAAGCAGAAGTCCAGCGCTAGCTGATCGACGTGGTCCTTCGTCTGCAGATCGGGAAGTTTCGCCAAGAGAGCGTCGACCTGCGCACCGACGGTTTTGCTCGCGATAGCCATAGATTGGTCGTCTGCATCTGCGGACGCCTTCTCCTCAGAGGATGAAGGTTGGGAGGCTGGTTCGGACTTCTCAACTCCCTCCGGTGTACCGTCCTTCTTGGCCGTCTCCTCTGAGTCGTTCTTTTTCTTCTTCCCATCCTCGAGCAAAACAGCCGGCACTTTCCCCTTAAGGTCCATCAAGTTCTCGTAGAAGCGTCGCTCTTCTTCATCTTCCCAGATACCGGCACCGTCGCCTTGGCCGCGCAGGTATTCAGCCGTCTTCACGAGCCCAATACCACCGTTGGAGTTGGCATCGGTGGTTTCCTGCTCGACCAAAGCCGGCATTTCAGCACCGAGCGCCTCGCACAAGACCTGAGTGTTTGCCACCAGCTTCTCCAGCGTCTTGGTCTGCTTCTCAAAGTTCGCCTGGCGATCCTCGAAGATCTCGCCACTCTTGACGTAGGCCTCCGCATTGCGACGACTCTGGTTGATCAACGCCCGTTGATCGCGTACAACGTGCGCCTTGACGTCCTCCAGGTACCGATTCAAGATGCTTCTAAACCGGGACTGGGCCTTCTCTGGAACAAGCGGCGGGTCGTCCTCAGCTGCATCTCCATCGCCTCCGCCATTCGTCGCCGGAGTCTCCGCGGGCGCAGCAGCGGTCGTGGTTCCATCCGCTTCAACCGTTTTCCTACCCTCATCTACTGGCTTCGTCCCCAGGATATCCCAGCTAAAGCTCTTGACAAACAGGACAGCAAGCGGCAGGTTGGTGTGGTCGCGGTCATGTCCCAGCAGATCCTTCAAAACCTCCAAAGGAAACGGCTCGGCTTCCTTGTCGCCATCTCGCGCCGCAGGGGTGACTTTGGCCTTAGAGGGCACTTCCGAAGCCTTCCCGCCGCCAATCCCCACCAACCCCTCCTTCCCTTTCGTGCCCACGTCCTCCGGCCGTTCAATGTCATCCAGCGTCCGCAAAACCCCCACCAGCCACAACTCCGTCACCACGCGGAGCAAAATCCGGTGACGGGACAAGCGCTCCTTCTCCTCGCGCTCGCGCACCTCAGGACTCAGCGCCTTCAACTGCCCCTTGTCCGGCGTGCTGAGGCCGCGACCCAAAAGCCATCCGATCTGTCGCGTGAACTCCGCGGCTCCGAACCGCTGGTGCAGGGCGCTCGCGATTTCGACCCCGGTGGCGATTTCGCCGGGCGACTTTAACTTGCAGAGGCCCTCGAAGCAGGCGGAGATGATCTCGGAGAGATACTTGTGGAGCGAGAGCGTGCGGATGTCGGACAGGAAGGTCTGCTGGGCGGCGGCGTTGATTCCCGTGCGGAGACGTTTGATGAAGGCGGTGTTTTTTTTCAGCGCGGAATCGAGAGACTTGCTGACGGCGAAGACATCTGTTGCGTGATTGTCCAGTGGTTAGAGAAGCAGATCCTGACGGAGAGGAGAGGGGTAGTCGAAGGTGTATTGGGTGGGTGTATTGGGACGGTATTTACCACTCTCGCCATTCCAGGCTCTCTCGTTGAGATCGCGGAGCTCTCCTATAAGCATGTACGTTAGCGATGGCTGCACGCATAGAGTGAAATTCTTATAGACTGTGTGGATCCAGGGATCGTACGCTTCCGTTGACGTTCCATTCTCTAAAGCCCGTTCGCTGTATTTTCAACTGTCGTGGGGTCCTTCCAGAGAGTCGGAAAGGAAAGCGCACAAGTGACTTGAACGCCACATTGGTGGAGATTAATAAAAGGAAAAATGACGCGCTCCGTCTCGAAAGTCGGCGATTTCGGAGGAGTGTTAAGAAGTGAGGCGTGTCTGGCTGGAGAAAAGCCGTGACGGAGAGCAGAGCGACTTGCGGCGGCGAAGAGTGGGAGCCGAAGGCGGTCCCTGCGGGTGGGCTCCATTAGGCGGAACCTCGTCACATCAATGTGGACTACGGAGTAGAGATAGGACACTCCCCAACGTCATATTCAATTTGATTCTGGCCTCACTTCAGTCGACTAACCCTGCAGGAGATATAGGTAGTACATTCTCAAGACGACCCTCAGCCAACACACGATGTCATCATACAGAGTAACCCTAGCCAACACAAGAAGAACCACCAATTACCACAAGACCAAGAAAACAATCTGGGACCCCCAACCAACGACAACCAAAAACAATTACAGTGTCAAGATATTAATACAGACGAGAGAAAAAGAGAAAGAAATCATATCATCCCAAACAACCGATAACTATGACCAGAAACCGATGATGACCACCACTACTCCTCCACCCCACCACGCTCAATCTCCGTAAACCCACTCTCATCCCCCTTCTTCACCTCCAACAGCCGCGACTGCAAATCATGCTTGCGATCCTGCTGGCTCCAGCTCTGACGACGATCATGAGCACGATCCCTCGGCTTCCACGGTCTCTGCGGGATATGATGCTCGTGCGTCACGCTGGAGGAGATCTCGGGGTAGGTTCCCGTTGAGCTGGATGCGGTGGGAGAGAGCTGTTCGAGTGGGTTGGGCTGTGGCTCTGGGTCCAGCGTGTCCGCTTCGTGGGATGGGTTTGGGAGGGGGTTGAATTGCATTTTCTTGAGTGTTCGTCACTGGTTATTGATGATGCGGTTCCGGGAGTGTGTAGTATTGTAGATAGGTAGGTAGGTAGGTAGGTAGGTAGGTAGGTAGGTTATACGATCAATGGCTGGATGTTGGTTTTAAGTAGTATAAAGTAAGTAGTAGGTGGGCAAGCTCAATACTCTTATAACTCATGTTATGTTGTTTTCAGGAGGCAAACCTGCAAGACACACCTTGGTGTTGTCTTGACCCCGTGGTCATGTCTGACATCCTTGGGTTGAAAATCACCCCATCGCTAACATCATCATGATATATGCGTGGGACAAATGGTTACATGTGAACGAACAGTGACGCCTCTCGGATCAACCATGGTCCGATCCAATATCAGCTACTCTGGAAACCTTCAAGTCGAAATAACTCTAAACACTAAATGCTTTTTTCCTTTTTTTTGTTTCTTGGAAACAGATAACATACAACCCACGATCGTTCCAAAATTGGAGGAATACAGATACCAGAAATCCACTGGGCAAACACAAAGGGGGAAAATACAACGATATAAACATGGGGATAGTATCGATGCCCGCCACGAGGGAGAAGACCCTTGGAGGTCAGGCCATTGGAGGCAAAATGCGAGACAACAAGAGGTACACACACACTCGCCCAGGCAAACACCCTGGGGAAACACCGCAGACATCACACATGGGTGGCAAACAAAACAGTTAGACCAACCTAGTAACAAGTCGATGAAATAATCATCACGAACTGGACCACCATTCATCATACACCTTCATACTGCAACATGAAATAAAACAGGGTATGCCCACGCCACGCTATGCGAATAATCAATGAAAGTCACAAACAGCAAGAAAAAAAAGCAACACAACTATGTACTAAGAACGGTAACCACCTTTGGTTCGATCGTCACGACCAGAAGGTGGGTAGACAAGTACTATCATCTGTCTTGCGCAATATCTGGTCGAGATCTATTTCGGCTTACGCCAGAAGTATTGCTAGGGTCGGTTAGTGATTGGTCCAAGCTGGTCAGTGGCGAGCTTCGTACCTTATGCTGCTTTCTACAATTGCGGAGTCCGGGCTTCCGAAGGTCATTCACAACAGCTTCGCGCCGCATCTCGTCGTCGTCGAAATCAGCGACGTAGTAGTACTCGCTTTCGAGAGGCTTCCCGGCAGCATCCTTGCCTTCACGGGCAACCTTCCCAATACTCTTGGTGGTATCGATGATGGCGAGAACCTGGTCCCTAGTGGGCACATCCTTGGAGCCACCTTCCTTCCTCCAAAAGCTAGGAGGAAGGTTGTTGAGAATAGTCGAGAAGGGAGTCGACGAGAGACGGGAGAAGGCCAGTTGGTTGACGGCGTGGTTCTGCACTCGTCCCACGCTTTCGTCAGAGAGATCGAGCTTGGCAGGCGCCTGGTGGATCTCCTCAGTTGGCTTCGACGGCTGCTTCGGGGACTTGGTGGACGGGTCGTGCTGGGCGGCAAGCTGGTTGCGCGGACGGGTAGGCTGGAGCGGAGAGTCTTCCGCAGTAAACGATGCCAGGCGTGGCAAGAGGTTCTCTCCAAACGGCCCAAACGAATGAACAATGGGGTCGTTCTCCTCGTCATGGTCAGAGAAGTCGTCATTCTTACTCAGCTCACTCAGGTCACTGGACTGCGAACTCTGCAAGAGATCCGCTTCGTCGGAGGCAGGGTCCTGGAAATCCTCAGACGGCAGCACATTCCGAGAGGTGTTGCGACGGAGTGGGGACGCCTCGTCCTCGTACACGACCACCGAATTGCGAGAACGGGTTGGGGTGAACAGAGGCGAAGAGGGAGGGACAAGGGACTTGGACGCGGGGGACGGAGACACAGGAGAAGCCAAACGCGGACGCTCAACAGCGGGACTATCCTGGAGACTCCGACGAGATTGCCCGTGGCGTGTCGGGGTGCTTTCCTCCTCCGTCGAGACATAATCCTTCTTATCCCCGCGAGGCCATTGGACCAACACCCGCGCATCATGAACATCAATCATGATATCGGCATCTTTGATATCCGACGTGAACGTCTTTCCTTTGGCCAAATCATAGGTTTTCCCCTGGCAATGCAGCTTGATCCCATTCCATCCCATGCACAGTATCTCTACCCTATCCCGGTCGAAGGGGTTCGGGGCCGGTTTATACGTGGCCTTGACGTGGATCCGAGAAATCATACGGTTGGCGGCTAGTTGATGCTGGCACGAGACACTCGATCTACCCATCAGGAGGGGGTCACCATTCTCCGAGAGCATCAATGTTGGCACAGCGGACAGCGGAGACCGTTCCGAGTTGGATGAGACGACGGCTCGTCGTGACGCGTTTCGAGACAGGGCCATGCGAGGCGGAGAGGAGGACATAATATGGGTGGACGAGGTCGGAACCGGCGTAGGGTACATCGAGGCGAGGCCATGGTCCTCGCGTGCTACACGCTTCTGGGGGCGAGGCAGAGAGGGCGACGAGCTCAATGGCTCAAACGCGGGCAACAGAGACGCTGGACGCTTCACACCTGCCACGGACGCAGTGAAACTGCTCCTTGGGGGAGAAGACTCCATTATGGCAAGTGTGTCTATTCAACAGCACCAACACGTCCTAACGGTACCGTGAACAAACCTAGACGTGACAACACTCTTCAATTGAAGCGGTTAGGAGGAGGACGAGAAGGGATTCGCGTCGAGGACCCGACAGAGGAAGGGTCAGTCTATTTCTATAGACCAGGTTAAACAAGGAAAGAGAGCAGACGAATCGAGGCAAGTGAAAGACGAAAAGGAATGAGCCTTGAACACTACTACCCCCCAAAAGGCGAGGACCAGGAGGTTGGGGGAGGCACAGAATCGGTCTATGGACAAAAAGGAAAGAAAAAGAAAAAAGAATGAGAAGTAATCACGAAAGGGTAAAAAAAAAAAGGTAAAGGGAAAAAACGAAAAAGGGTGAGAGGATTGGGTGTGTGGTGGAATGCGTACCGGAGCGGAGGGTCTCGTCCAGCGCGGAAATGCACGCTTACAGCCCGAGACGCGTTCGATAGGCGCCGGCGAGGTTCACCAAGCTCCACCATTAACCTCGCGCAGTTTACTTACAAACTTCTCGGACTGTATATTGCTCAGCATTTGGGAGAATTGGAGGCAATTAAAACATATAATTTTGACTGCATTTACACCGGAAAAAAAAGGCCCTTTCATTGACTTTCCTCCTTCAAAGGCCGTGTCGACAGGGCGCGTCTCCCCGCGTCCCCAAGTCATGTGCCTCGCGTTTTCTGGTTCGCATCCCGTGACTTGCGCCTGATCATGTGACTTCTGCCTCGAAGGGGAAAAGCATGCCTGACGCAGGATTTTCTGCCCTTTGATTGGACCAGATGCATCTTGTCGCGACTTGATACCTGCTACGGGTACCAGGTTAGTACTATCGACTATACCATGGACTACCTGGTAAGTGGTATATAAATCCATACCTGTATCCCCGGAGTACTCCGTTACTAGCTACAAATAAGCGGACTTATCACCAACATCAAACCCTCCAATCCAAAATACCTAGGAACCGACCAGGATGCTCCTGAATCTCCTCCCAGCCCAGCATTGGCACCCTTCATTGCGGACACGCCCTACAGTCCCTACTTCGATCCTAGCCCATTAGCTACGGAGTTTACGGACTCCCTACCTTATCTACCCACCTAGAGGCACCTAGTTATGTCCAGCATAAATTTATGTCCCCGACGCGACGCCTCCCACAAGCACGTAAAACGTAACCAGTAACCACGTAAGACGTAACCAACGTACGCGACCTAATAACTAATGCAAGCGCGCCAGCCTTCATACTCCCTACCCTACCCAAGTCAGTAATTCCAATATAACCATCACACAAGGTAGCGTGTACTACTAACGACTAGTAAATATAAGTAGTAATCAATTGACTATTGAACCCCCCACCGACCGATGCCCCGATCTCCTTTTTTTGCTCTCCCAACCCCACTTAAGTGCACATTCCTGAGGACCACTACCAGCACGGGGTTTAGTCTAGTCCGTGCGTGGTTTTCTACTGTAGTTGTGGTTGTCATTGTAGTTGCTGTGGCACAGTGTAAAATCTAACAGAAAGGCTCGGCATGAATTAACAACCTACCCAGGTGATATATGTATATATATATTACCAAAAACATAATAACAATCTATCGACCAAGCACCGATATATATATGGGGGGAGAGAGAGGTATGTATGTGTCGTACCTGCCAGGGGCCAAACCAACCCCACATTTACGACACAACACGACACGACATCTGCAGGACATTCCAGCCGGAGACGAGGGGCCGGACTTACATATGTACCTAGTATCTACTTACTTTAGTACCTTGGTAAGTAAGTCGATGATGTTTAAAGTACGGTGAGGGAACCGAGGGCAATGCAAGACCAGGGATAAGTCCTTCTTTCTCTTCGTCTCGTCTGTAGGATATGTGTGGAGTTGGGTTGGGATAGAGATGATATTTGTGTTGTGTTGAAGAACACGCTTGCTGGGTTGTAGGAAGGGCGGTTTTGGGTTGGGGTTATGTTGTATAGATTAGGGATATGAATATATATATTGTCCAAAAAAACCATAAACAAACACTCCCTATCGACAGACACCATCGCAATCTCAATATATAACAACATTATTTATAGGACTATCTTACTAGAAGGAATATAAGAAAAAAGAAAAGTCAAGGTGACAAGAAATCAGTTTACTTCGCAGGAGGGTAGAAAAGTAAATCTAGCCACAGGCGACCCCCACCGCCCCCAAACCCCAGACAGGATGGGGGACTGTGGGGGACGTCACGAAAAAAATGTGACGTGAACCGGAATGTTTTCAAAACCACGTGGGATAAAATATACTTAAGATACACAGAAGAAAAGCAAACACACTCGCCGGTGGAATCATGAAAAAAGGGAATGGGACGCGGCGTAGAAGGGGAAGGGGCTACCGGGTTGCAGTGGCACCCATATGGCTTTGTCAAGTGTGGGCCGACCCGAACGTTTAATAAAAGACGTAGGTGGCGTCGCCGGACACGGCTTGGACCTATTGAAGAAGGAAGATTAGCCATAATCAAAGTGAAGTGGGAAAGAGAAAGGGAAACATACAGTGCAGCCGGAGTCGTTGCTGCCCGTCTCGGAGATGAACTTTCCGTCCTCATACTTGCACGATCCGCTGAGGTTGTCACCCTTGATCTTGATGTTGAAGTCGAGCTTCTCGTTGGTGGTGGGGCTGTTCTGGAAGATGGAGAGCCATTTGCCGTTGTTGGAGCCAACACCGAGGTTGACGGGGGCCCAGTTGCCGATGGGCTCGCTGCCGTCACCCCACTGGCAGCCCTTCTCGGGCTTGGTGCCGCGGGGGTTGACGTAGTACTGAGCCGAGGTGGTCTTGCCCTGCCACTTGAAGTACTTGTCGCCGTCGGGGCAGGTCAGGGGCTGCAGGTCGTTGTGGCCCAGGCTCAGAGGAATGGTCTCGGCCTCGGTACCGGGGTAGTCAGTACGGCAAACAGAGACGGTATCGCCCATGTTGTTCTCAACGCTGACACCGCCCACACCCTCAATGCAGAGCTTCTTGGACAGATCGGTGTTGGTAAGGTAGAGCTTGCCCTTGCGGCACTCCAGACCACCGACGGACTGGCCCGTGGAGCCCTGGGTGGTGGGCCACTGGGACTTCTGGTATCCAGCGGGGCAGGCATAGGAGCACATGGCGCCGGAGTGGCAGGTGTCGCCGGTGACGGCGGTGACGATGTCGCTGATCAGCTCATCGGCCAGGGACACGTACTGGATACCGGACCAGCCGCCCAGGCCCAGGTACTCCAGGGGGATGGCACCGTAGTCGGAGGGGAATTCACCACAGTCGATCTCGCCATCGGGGAACTCCTTGTCCATGCCCTTGCCGCCGCTGGAGGCGCCGCTGGAAGAGGCCGGGGGAGGAGAGGCCGAGGTGGTGGTCGAGGGAGCTGCCTTGGTGGTGCTGCTGGTGGTGCTGCTGCTGGCGGGAGCGGTGGTGGTGGGTTCCTCAGCAAACTCGCCGGGGGCGACAGTGGGGGTCGGGGCGGCGGTCGAGGTCGGTTCGGCCAGGATGCTCTTGCACTCATCGACCTTGGGGGCGGCACCGGCCCAGATCAGGGTGCCATCGGCGATACCCTGGCAAGCCTCCTCGGCGGTGATCATCTCATCGCCGAGCTTGTACTCGACGACGGTGTCACCGGGGACCACATCGACGGTACGCTTGTGGTGGTGACGGTGCTGGTGGTGGTGCTGGGCAGCGACGAGAGAGCCCGCCGTCGCCAGGGTCAGAGCAACTGAGTTGAACTTCATTGTGTTGGTATGTAGTAGATATGTTCCTGGAGATGGTGATGTATATGGACTGATCCGATCTATATATGCCGAGGGGTTGATTAGCGCACATGCCACGGGAGTCTCGAGTCATCCATTCCACTGGCACGATGTCTCTTATCATTTGGTCCTGATAACCCCTGACACCTGACACCTGCTCTCATCACCTCAGTCCCCACCTCGACCGGCCAGCATGGAGACATGCGCACGGCCAAGGACTGGGGGAGTCGGGTGCAGGGCGCATCCATGATGTTTGAGGGGATGCAAGACTACCACGAGGAACGGACCAACGACCAGAAGGGTTTATACATACATCAACGTTAGGGCAAGCTAGTCGCGCGCTTTTGATATGACTGTACAGGGATCGAACGAATCGCTTCAGATTGAACGTGAGGGAGAGTGTGTGAGCAAGGAGCAAGATTCGATAACAGAGGTTCCCAAAAGAGTGTACGAGAGAGAAACAGGTCTCTCAGGTCGGATAGGAATCTCAAAGAACTGGCAAGAAGCAGAAGGTGAAAACGCTCTGGGGAGGAGAAGAAGGGAGAGAGAGAAGAGAGAGGAGAAAATGTGGAGGGATGATGGGAGGGAAGGGGAGATGAAAAGGAACGAAATGAGATTTAGTCGGACTACTAGTCAGTTCAAAGGGAAAATGGATGGGCCCAGGGGGGGCGAGAGCGAGCAGAAAAAAACGACTAAAAGAGGGACACGGGGGGGCGTCCAGGGTCTTCCAGGGGCTCGATGCCAACAAGACCAACGATCAATGGTGGCACTACGATGGACATTGGAACAGCCACCGATTAAACCAGGCAATAGTCAGAAGAATTAAAATAATTATCAAATAAAAAAAAAAATCAAATGAATAAATAATAGAATAATAATAATAAAAGGAATCAAAATATTCAGTGGAAAAATAAAAATAAATAAATAAATAAAAAGATTAATATCAAGGATCCACACCTGGAGACCAGACATGGGTGATTTTGATTAACATGAAAGATTTCTTACCGTATTCTCAGTATCCATATACCCCTAGTGCTGTACCTGCATGGAAATCTCCCATCTCCTCCAACCACATCCAAGGTCTGTCAATGAGTACTTCGTACCTGGTAACTTTGGAATTAATACCCGACTCGACTCCCTCCTTTGTCAGGCTTGGTCCGCCGGGGGTGAGTATATCCCGACATTCTGACATGGTGCCACGGCTGACATTGCCTCTTCGGTACCAATCCTGGACATAAACGAGGCGTTCGTGAGAATAAGAGGAAGATTGGAACCGAAGAGGGGGGACGAGAAAATGCCTCTGGAAATGCGGTGCAGAAACCATAGTTCGTGAGGGACTAAACGACGTGTCTACCGGTCCAAGGGCCTCTATCGGCAATAACCTCGGAGAGATGCGTGGTCAGGCAGTGCTTTTCTTCTGGGCTTTGTTTGGAGGTCTGGACCGTCTTGACTCTATTATTATTCTTTTGATCATGATTATGATTATTATAAGTATGGTTAATGTTGACTTAGCGCCGTTATCCCTCTGACTACGACCCGTTCACAATCCTTCTGGTGTCTGTTCCAGAGGGGAAAACCGGAGTATCGGGCGTTTCTCGCCTCTGTTTGGCCACTCGCATCTACTAAATCATCATTTCTGTTCCTGAAGCCCGCCGGGACTAACCGCACCGGGTTTGGCGTTTGCCTAGAATTGCACTTTTCGGCTGAGTTTACACCAACCATACTGTGGGATGTGGGGTTACAGTGGGGTCAGCACATTTTACTCCCTCAATCAGGCACACCAATCAGTCTGGACAGCGACCTCTTCGCTTGCCCCGGCGATGGCCACAAAAAGCATGACCTCCAGGGATTGTCTCATGTCCGATCATTTAGTAGCCTTTGGTGGTCCCTAGACTGTCCTATGTTTGGTGGATGAGACTCGTACTTTGTATTAATAGAAAATAGAAATGTTTTCTCTCGTTGTATTCTGACTGGTGGTTCCGGTCTGGCTGGACCCAAATTTCAGGCCACGTCCTTCCACGGATCCAACGACACAATTGTATACTTTGCTTCCACGTCTTGGATCCTTTTCCTTTTGATCCTTGCCGGTCCTCGGCAGGGGGGTCGTTGAAGGGGTTCCAAATATCCACTGGAACAAAAATCATCAAAATTAAGTAATAGATGAAATGACCAACCATGATTCAATCCTTTACACTCTGAAATCATTATGCATCTCCCCAGCCGTTCGAACCCAACCTCGAGGATTGTTGATTACCGCGGAGATACGTACGGTAATTGTACAACATACGTCTGCCCACCACCCGCGGCAGAGATGGAGCGATCTGCGCTGGACCAAACACGTCCCGCCAAATAGGGGAGACTGGCCTGGTGCGATTTCCCACCTAAAAACAAACAAGCGTTTCTGAAAGGCTAAACAAGGGCCGTTGCGGAGCGTCTCTCCCGTTTATCATGTCCATCCCAACTTACACGACGATGATCCTCTGGCTTCAGCCTTCTAGCCTTCCATTCCAGGGGCCAACAGCCTAACCGGCCACCTTGACAACCTCTCTTGTCCTGGCATCGGATGATGGGCGGTCGATAACTATTAACTCCAGACGAGGAGAAACCATCTGAACCCTTCTGATCGCCGTCGTGTTGACTGGACTAAACGGTGTGGTGGTGGTGATGGAGAAGGTCAAAGTCAGTACCCAGCGATCGGCATCTTCCCAGATCAGGCTCTGCTGTGCTGGCACCCTCCAATTGACCGCTCCTCAGCTTCAATCGGAAGCGCGGAACACATCATCATCTCTCTGTCATTGAAATTGGGCCGCACGCATCACCCGTAGATTTGTAACATAAAAAATTTGATCTCCGACAGGATCCGTATATGCAGGTGCCTTGCAGAATCAAGCACCCTGTAACGAGTACCTACAGGTAGGAAGTTTTACGAGACCACCTTCTGCCCTGTTCGACTGCCGAAACAAACGTGGTCGACCCCAACTCGTGACCACCTACTTACTCCGTGGGGATCGAATCATTGAATCATGGTGTGTGTGTGTGTGTGTGTCGATAACTCGCTATGTAACTAGTTACGGGGTATTGGGGAGATTTCTAATCAGATCTTCCTGCTGGTTTCGTGGATCCAAACCCTTGTGCGTGACATCATCTACACATGTCATCCCTGATTTTGAACTATTCATAAATTGCAGTCTCGTTCCAGAGAGTGCTGTCTCTCGGGTTGCCAACCAACTCGCTTCAATGAAGATCGGAGCGTCGGATCCCTCCAGTTATTCCACACGATGGAATACACGATGCGATCAATGCTCGGGAGGATCGCTCTCATACCCACGTGATCGCCTTCGCCTTCAAGAGACAAGGGACCTGGCTCGGTCTCTCGTGGATATTATTAGAATAGAATGAAATTGGGGGCGGTTTCTCGCAAGTTCCATCGCCCACAGTGGTATTTCTAGCGGCTTCACAAGATCGTCAGTCGCCCAGCTCTTGGTGGTCCAGGTCAACTGATCGGATTTCCTGGGGGATCAGGGGTTACTTTGGTTATCAACGGGACGTCGGGATCTCTCACCAAGGAGTAACTATCTCCACCAGGACGGCGATGTCTCAAAACTACTGAATATGAGGGTTATAACTTATAACTTATCACCTATAGGAATACGTATACACACCAGCGTACTATGTATTTCCCGAACTTAATTGAAAGAAAAACATTCACCGGCGATATTTCCTAGTCCAGAAACAAAGTTCATGCCATATGCCTTCCAGGTTAATCCAACAACCCCACCCCTAAAATTGCTTCGCCCGAGATGTTCACATCTGTAACACAATTTCTGCCATGTTCCTTGGAACCGCGAGATTGACTGGTGGCATGTCCCCGCGTGTCTTTCAATAGTCAATAACTCAATAATTATTAGGTAGGCACACGGTTTGGCTCCGGAGATGTAACCTCGGGACTTCCATTGTTCCTGGGTCAGTGTTTACTACATATGTACCTACCTTATGTACCTTATGTACCTTATGTACCTTATGTACCTTATGTACACGATCACAGTGATGACTGATAACTCGCTCGCTATGAATTCCACAAACGGAGAATAGCACTATCAATCCGGTTATCTCACAGCTGATGAGCGCTCAGCCTTGTACTGGGTCTGATTGGAAGTGGACAGGGGACAGGGCCAACAGGGACTTATTTCCACGCGCGTTCCAACTTCTAAGTCAACAGCAAGACACTAATGCTACTAGTACCGAGTAGCTCATTTCCCATATCAGCGATTGACGTGTACACCTCTTTCGGGATAGTCGTGGAGTTGTGGACTCATCATTTCATGCGACTTTGTTTATCGGTCTGCGGTTTTAAAGTTTCTAAGAACTGGTGTCTGTTGATAGATCGCTTGAGATGAATCTATTGATTCGGGATGGATTTTGCTGTTCTATGTTGTGGAATTGTAAGCTTCTTGGCCCCTTGCTCTGGCACTGCCTCGAGTAGTCAAGGTCTAAATATATTTATCTCTACCGTTTCGTAGTACTGGCTGAACCATATCATTGCTGGAGGCAAGATGGACTGATCAAGATAGCGAGGGCGGAGATTATAGTGGCATAGTGCTCTATCATTTCTGGACTGAAATGTCACGTAGATAGTGACCAGTCAAATTGCCTGATTGCCCATTCTCTTTTCTCCTTCATCATCATCCAGGCACTTTCCCGCGGCAACCATCACATCACGAAGAATAAGCAGTCCTCGCGACACCTATTCGGCGACTTCACAAAAAGTATCTCACCTGTTCGAACTAGAGAATAATGCGCTAATAGAATGAAACATGGATATCAATCAGATTATTTAAATGACAAGTCTATCCGGAATGTGTGGAGGGGCTGGAATGCTGGATATGCTCTGGAGTTGAGCACACGAGGGGATGTGATGACTCAGCACGTAACTCGATGCCAAGACCGGAGAAATTCGTCCACCGCCTTCCCGTGAATTTTTTTGAAAATCGTTATCGCAGAACCTGCGAGAGTCCAAATTTGCTAGGATCAACATATAACTGCAAAGATGGTGTCTTCAAATGCGGTCACCACCAAGGTGACATCTGGATCTCCTTACCAGCTTGATCAGAACCAGGTATGTCCCCGCCCCTGCAATCGCCAGAGGAACCCACCCAATTTTATTTGCTGAGCTAACGATTATTTTCAATCTTCAGGTCTCCAGAGCCTCGTCTGCGCTTTTGCGACACATCAAGACGCAGCAGGTGGACAAGGAAAAGACGGCGACCAAGAAGACCCTCATTGGCGACAACGATGATGATTCTGACGCGGAGGATATCCCCCTCAACAACGAAGCGGTTTGGCTCGTCCTCACCACGAAAAAGCACGTTGTCGACAAGAACCGCCTGAAGCCGGGGAAGATCACCATTCCTCACTCTCTCAACGCCTCTCCCTCCCTCAGCGTCTGCCTGATCACGGCGGACCCGCAGCGCGCCGTCAAGAACATTGTTGCCGACGAATCTTTCCCTCAGCATCTGACCTCCCGCATCGACAAGGTGATCGGTTTCTCGAAATTGAAGTCTCGCTACCAGAGCTTTGAGAGCCGGCGACAACTGTTCTCCGAGCATGACGTCTTCCTGGCCGATGACCGGATAATCATGCGTCTGGTCAAGACTCTTGGCAAGATTTTCTACAAGTCGAGCAAGCGCCCGATCCCCGTTCGCATCGCCGAGATTGAGAAGGTGGACGGCAAGAAGGTGAAGAAGGACCCGAAGCAGAGGTCTAAGCCCAATGCGGAGGACAGCGCTTTCGCGTCGCCCGCGATCGTCGCCAAGGAGATCGAGAAGGCGCTCAACTCGGCCGCCGTGCAGCTTGCTCCGGCTACTACTGCTGCCATCCGCGTCGGCTCCTCCAACTTCACTCCCCAGCAACTGTCCGAGAATGTCGAAGCCGTCGTGAAGGGCTTGACGGACAAGTTTATCACGAAGGGCTGGAAGAACGTCAAGGCCCTCCACGTCAAGGGTGCGAACACCATGGCCATGCCGATCTGGCTCGCCAGTGAGCTCTGGGTGGAAGAGGGCGATGTGGTGGAGAAGACCGCCGATGACGACAAGGCCATTGAGGGCGCCAAGAACGACAAGAAGCGCAAGCAGATCGAAGCCGGAGAGGGAGAGAAGATCTCGGAGGGTGGCAAGAAGTCGAAGAAGCCCAAGGCCGCTGACGACGACGAAGCCGCCTCCCTGAGCGCACGGAAGGAGAAGTTGCAGAAGCAGAAGGCCAAGGCCCTGCAGGACGGTGAGGAGTCCGGTCGCAAAGCCGCCGCCACCCCAGCCAAAGCAGAGGCCGGGTCTACGAAGAAAAAGAGAAAGTCGACCTCATAAGAAATGTGCCTCCGGCGTTTTTTTAATGTAATGTGTTTTATCCATAGCAACTCTGGGTTCTGCGGCGGCGTACCGATATTGTCACATGTCTCGATTTTTTTTGAGTTTCATCATGTACTTAGAGATATAGGGCTTGTTTTCCAATACCCGCTTTTTTAAGACAGAAAAAAAAGTTATGCTAGTTGATCATTCTAGTCCTATGTATGGAAAATCTGCCCTAGACATAGACTTGTAAAGCTGTACTAAAGAAAAAGGGCATCGGAAGGTAGAAGGGAGGATCGTAACAGTTAGCCGAATGTGTCCGAGGATCGGCGGTGCTTGACGGGCCGACGATAGCCACCGCCCGCCAGAAACGCATCTCGTCACAACCTCGGCCAGTCTTCCTCCGCCGTTCCCCTCCGCCCCCCCCCCTTCCCTGTTGGCATCTCCAGCGCTTTGAGCAGGTCCTCATAACTCGTTACGCAAATATACCACCATGATTCCTCTCGCAAGACAATCGGTTCTCCGGGCCGCGCGCTCGCAACTCAACCCTTCGCGGGCATTCAACCAGCCCACGGCCTCTGCTTACGCCCGCCTCCTCTCGACCCTGGCCCTCCTCGAACAGCGTGATGGCCAACTGCAGAACTCGTCGCTCTCCGCTATCGCTGCGGCGCAGAAACTCGGTGGCCCCGTCACTGCCTTCCTCGCTGGTAGCGGTGTGAAGGGTACCTCTGCTGTGGAGGCTGCTAAGATCAAGGGTCTGGATAAGGTGATGGCTGTGGATAATGATGCTTATGAGAAGGTGAGCAGATATCTTTACGATAAGATAGCGACCATTGGATTTGTGTGTATGGGAGTAGCTTGCTGACGGTTCCTGGGATCTAGGGTCTGCCGGAGAACTACGCCCCTCTTCTGGTTGAGAACATCAAGAAGGGCGAATTCACCCACGTCGTTGGCTCCCACTCTGCCTTCGGAAAGAGCCTTCTGCCCCGCGTTGCGGCTCTCCTTGATGTGCAGCAGGTTTCTGATATCACCGGGATTGAGAGTGAAGACAGTACGTATTGAACTTGATATCCGATAGCGGAGGGAGCGGTGGTAATGAGTCAAAACACATACTGACAGTTGGGCAGCTTTCGTCCGCCCTATCTACGCCGGAAACGCCATCCTGACCGTCCAATCTTCGGACTCCATCAAGGTGATTACTGTGCGAGGCACTGCCTTCCAGGGCACCGAGACCGAGGGCGGCTCTGCCGAGATCGTCGAGGGCAGCGACCCCAAGGCGCCCGCCCAGACCGAGTGGGTGTCCGAGGAGCTCGCCAAGTCCGAGCGCCCCGACCTGGGTGTTGCATCCCGCGTCGTCTCCGGCGGCCGTGGCCTCAAGTCCAAGGAGGAGTTCGACCGTGTCATCGTGCCCCTCGCCGACTCCCTGGGCGCTGCCATCGGTGCTTCCCGTGCCGCCGTCGACAGCGGCTTCGCCGACAACAGTCTGCAGGTCGGCCAGACCGGCAAGAACGTCGCTCCCCAGCTGTACCTGTGCGCCGGTATCTCGGGTGCCATCCAGCATCTGGCTGGTATGAAGGACAGCAAGGTCATCGCCGCTATCAACAAGGACCCCGATGCTCCCATCTTCCAGGTCGCTGATGTCGGTCTGGTCGGTGACCTTTTCGAGAAGGTCCCTGAGATGACCGAGAAGCTCAAGGCGCAAGCTTAAATTTGATTAGCTTTTGTTCGTTTTCATTTTCATTGTATCATGATGGGGTTTCTTTTTTGCTTGAGGTGAAATATACAGTATACCATACACTACCAGCGCTAGGACATTGGACTTAGACTTTATTTTTCTTTTTATTCCTGATTGATCAACTGTAGGATTGTGAGTAGCAACCATTGTGCTCAATGGCAATCTTCTAGAGAAGTGCTGCTGCATACTAGAATGCTCACCAAATACATGCACCACATCTTCGCACTGGGCCAAGACAACCTTGTTGTCATCCAAAACGTACCTCAAATAGTGAATAAATCTACTTACAGAGACCCCAGTCTCAATTTACTCAATATTCCCCGTACTACACTGTAATACTCCGTCCATGCGGGGAATAAAGGCAGCAAAACGGAAGTGTGGTGGAACTGCAGTCTAATCAACGAATCAATCAGGACTAGCGCGTGCAGGGCGCGTCCACACGCGTTCAATAATCAATCAATCCAAGTTAATCGCATCGTCCACAGCGACCAACTGATAGAAAGCGGACAATCAATCAATTTGCCTTACCTACGATGCGCCATTCCTCCTAACATTCAAACTCGAATACTGAAATAAATCAACACAAGCAAAGGCAAGAGAAATGTCAGCCTAAGCCTTTAATGGCGACATCACCACCACCATTCCCCTCGTCTTTTGATCCCGCCATCCATCTTCACTCCGACGTGCCCCCTAGCGATATTCTACCGGTCGAGCCGCCATCGGAATCCTTCTCTGACGAGTTAGAGGCGCTCAACCTCCAGCGGTTGGAGAATACGCGCAATAAAGTCGTGATTCAGCATCGGGCGTGGAATTTGTCGGATGTATTTCGGAGTGACGAGGACGTGAGACCTGGTATTTGACCTATCTTAGTGCTGTTGCGCTGAGTGTCGGATTGGAGGTGGCTGATGGATTAAGCAGAGACTCCAACGCGATCATACAAACTATCTCAATTAAAGGAGGGCTGTGTGGCTTCTTTCCCGTCTTCGCCCCCGACCGCAACCGCCAAAATGCCGTTCATTTCCTCCCCCGTTGCGTTTCCCTCGAGTGCTGCGCCGTCGTCGCCTGACGCGCAGAAGAGAAAGAATGATGAACAGTCGCAGTCGCAAGCGGCGGAGCCGAAGAAACAGAAGATTATGGGGGGGTTCTTGGATGAGGATGATGATGAGGATGGTGACGATGATGCTATGGATGCGTTTCGGGATGCTCACTTTAGAAGCGAATTCGATACGCAGGAGGATCTGATGGGTCAGTCCTTGTTGGAACAGCCAGAAACCCAAGCTCAAGCCTCCCAATCTGCTCAGACGGAGTCGGCACATCTTCCAGAGGAACCGATTGCGCCTACCGCCGAGTCTTCGACCTTTACGTCTTCGATCCCAACTCGTCGAGTACCGTTGTCGATTCCGATCAAAACCTGCGCTGGGAAGACTCACAATGTCAGGATGAAAAAAGCTGCGGCGCCAGTTCCATATCAAAGTCTTGCTGCCAGCCGCTCTACTACCGCCCCTGGCCGAGCTCAGAAGAGTTACTACGGTATCGATATCCACAAACTCTTAGACGAGGCCGCCATAGAAGCCGAGCAATCCAAAGCGGCCAAGTCGCTGCCTCGCCCCACGGTGCAGCCGTCTATTGAACCTCACACGGGGAATGGAAAGAGCAAGAAATACGCGTCGTCGATGTGGACTGAGAAGTACCGGGCTCGCAAATTCACAGAGCTGATCGGCGATGAGCGCACGCACCGGTCGATCTTGCGCTGGCTGAAGGGGTGGGATCCCATTGTGTATCCGAATCTTGCACGGTCGAAGCCGAAGAAAACGCCGTTTGGCCATGATGAGGAGGAGCGCCCTCATAGAAAGGTGCTGTTGTTGTGTGGGCCCCCGGGCCTGGGAAAGACTACATTGGCACATGTCTGTGCGCGCCAGGCCGGCTATGAGGCGCTGGAGATCAACGCCAGTGATGACCGGAGCAGAGATGTCGTGAAGGGGAGGATCAGAGATGCGCTGGGCACGGAGAACGTGAAGGGGATGAATGTCGATGTGGACGGGCAGAAAGTGAGGAAGATTGGACGGCCAGTGTGCGTTGTCGTGGATGAGGTAGATGGTGTGGTCACTGGATCTGGGGGTGGTGGAGAAGGTGGATTCATGAAAGCGCTGATTGATCTGGTCTACCTCGATCAGAGGAACTCGACGCGCTCGTCTGAGCAGAATGCGGGCGGCAAGAAAAGGAAGGGTGATAACTTTCGATTCCTTCGTCCTCTCATTCTGGTCTGCAATGACCTGTACCACGCCAGTTTACGACCCCTGCGGCAATCCTCTGTTGCTGAGATCATCCATGTTCGCCAGGCGCCTTTGGAGAATGTTGTCACCCGCATGAAGCACATATTCACCAAAGAAGGCATTCCGGCTGACAACGATGGCGTGCGGAGACTCTGCGAAGCATCGTGGGGCCTTGCGCGACGGAAACAAGCCAATGTCAAAAATACCGGAACGGCCGAGGGCGATATTCGAACTGTTCTCGTCGCGGCAGAGTGGGTGGCGCATAAGTTACGATCCGAGAATGCCTTGAAGTTGACCAGGAATTGGCTGGAGCAAAAAGTGCTAAACGATGACGCCGGAGGCGGTTCGTTCAAGGGCTTGAACCGCGGAGGTGTGCGAGACATTGTCGACCGAGTCTTCATGGAAGGGGCCGGCTTTCCTCCACCCCCGGTTGGCTCTGACTCCTTTGAAGACCCGTATGATAGGACCAGTCGGGTTACCGTTGGTGTTGCCGATCTCAAGAAACGCCACGGCATCAGCAAGTTGCGGGAGATGGTCGACGCCAGCGGTGACCATGACCGGTGTGCCACCGATTGTTTCGCCTCGTACCCTCTCCATTCCTTCCAAGACGACACCTTCCTCACCAAACCCAACACCGCCTACGACTGGCTCCACTTCCACGACACGATCTCCTCCAAAGTCTTCGGCACGCAGGAATGGGAGCTGAGCGGATATCTCAGCCAGTCGGTCGTAGCATTCCACCACCTCTTCGCGTCGTCGAAAGGCAAGCGCAGCTTGAAACCCGATGAAGAAGAAGAGGAACACCCATTCTACGGGCCCAGGGCTGAATATGCTGCCTATGAGGCCCAGAAGCAGAACAGCGCCACCATCACAGGCTTCCAGTCTTCTTTCTCCGCGCCCTTGACGAGACTCTTCCGCTCCACCGACAGCCTGGTCACGGACCTCATCCCGAACGTGGTCCGCATGTTGTCACCAGACGTCAAACCGGTCGTTGTGCGCGGAAACGGAGACCAGCGCAGCGTAGCGAGCGTTCGCAAGGAGAGCGAACGAGCTCTCGTGCAATCGGCAGTCCGCGTCATGGCCGGGCTAGGCGTGACCTTTGAGCGGGTGCGTGTTGAAGGAGAAGGCGGCACCCACGGGGGATGGGCATATCGCATGGAACCGTACGTTGCCCAACCTCTCTCCTAAATGAACGCAGTCTTTACTAACCAACCATGATAATATCCAGACCCCTCGACTCCCTCATAACATTCTCCAAAATGAACACCCCCTCCCAGACAAGCAGCGCATCCGCACCCGTCCGCTACGCCGTCCGCCAAGTCCTCGACCAAGAATACCGCAAAGAAACAGCCCGCAAACAAACCGAAGCCATCAGCGCCGTCACAACGGGCAAGAAGCCTGGCCACCCCGGTGAGGACGGGCCGACGGCAAAGAAGAAGGCCCTCCGCGACGCCCCGGGCGTCAAGCGGGACTTCTTCGGCCGCATCGTGCGCGAGCCGACGCCGCAGCCGGATGAGTCTGGGAGGGACCCCGCGCAGGAGGAGGCGCTGAAGGCGGGACGCAAGGTGTGGGTGACATATCATGATGGGTTCTCGAATGCTGTGCGGAAGCCGATTTCGATGGCGGAGTTGTTGGGAGGGTTGTAATTTTGATTATTATTATCTATTAATGACTATATGATGTATACATAGGTAGCTGTTCGTTTCATAGGGCTTAGCATAATGGTGCTGAAAATGATTAGGTGAAGCTAGCAATCAGTATTCCGAGCATAGTATATCTTGAATAAACCATTAAATATAGCGAGTTAAACAATCTAAATACAAGTAAACCCACATCCATCAAAGCAACCAAACTCCACATTAGAACTCATATAAACCCCGTGCACATAACAAGATGTCACAGCCAATCGAACGCACTCAGTTCGCCATAGTATATGCTACCATAGAATAACCCATCTACCGATAGCTCATATAAGTAGCAATCGCCTCATTATGCAGCGCCATCTTCTCCGTGGAGCGCATCGCGGACGGCGAGGACTGCGACAAATTGCCCTTGCTCTTGCTGCTGACGCTGCTGCTGCTGCTGCGCGAGAACCAGTGCTTCTTGGACTTGGACTTGAGGTCGCTGTTGGGGCCTTTGAAGGAGAAGATGGAGCTGGCGTCTGAGGCGCCGCAGGAGGTGGGGTTGGAGGTGTTGTTCATGTTGGTGTTGGAGAAGGAGGAGGACATGGTGGTTTGGTTGGTTTTGAGGATGGATGGAGGATTGGTATGTGGTTTGTTGGTGTTTGGAAATTTGATGTAGTGTGGATTTATGGAGGTGGTTGTTATCTTGAGATGAGGTCAAGTCTGTTGGATTGGATGGGATTGGAGTGAGTTGGAATGATTCTTTCAACAGCGACACAATGGCCCTTTATATATCTCTTTTTTCTATCTATTAAGTCATTGAACTGGCCAGGCCGTACCTGCTTGAAAATTATACTTCTACTCCGATGCATCGGAGTAAATCAAATAGTTCCCGTTGTAGATCGACAAGGGTCGAGAAAAAACCCCTAAAAATTTAATCAAAAGACCCTCGACATACAACTACACGATCAGCCTGAAGGAAAGACAAGACCCACAGGGCGCTGCTCTAGATCAACGGTCTTACATAGCTAAGACCACCACCAAGTCAACCAGCCTTACGTCGTGTGGTCACACCTGGAGCAAAATAAAGACATCACGGCGCTCGTGTTAGACCCACTTCCGGAGTTCAACAAAGCCCACTTGTCAAGGGCGCGCCTTGACACGAGCGCCATGCCTCTTTCGAGTCATAGATCGTCTGTCCCGACTGGTGATCGCCTGCACTGTGTACTGGTCATTTCTGGCATGATCGGGGTCCGTAACGGGTAATTCTGTAGATTTGGTTCATTGGTAGGAGGGTCAAACCGTGACTCATTTTCCTGCTGCCTGGGTTTCCACGTTCCAGGCAGACAGTCCACGTCCACGTACCGGGACCAACAATGAAGCTGAAAAGAGAGGAAGAGGGTGAAGAGGCGATCATCTCTACTCCGATCCATGCTCTACTCCGAGCTCCGTACTCCGACATGTCGATATGACGTCATTTACTCCGACGCACTTTATATAGATCGAGAAAACCCTGATCGGAGTGTGTCAACACCGAGACATTGTGGACTCGGAATGCAAATCGGCTGACTCTAGAAGGGTCTGTCAGTTACGATGAAATGTCTGCATGTTCAACGGTGTTGTCTCATGTCGAGGTGGTTCGATCTATCCTGGCGGCCTGGTTGTGAGTCGGAGGACCGAGCGTAACCGATAGATGCCGGTTTTATACAAATCGTCATATGAGTTCAAATGCCACTTTCCGCATGTCAACTGTCTATAATAGACCCAGCCGGCCTGGTCGCCAGAGATTGTCTCAATCTCTCAGTCCTTCTAATCTTCTGCAGATCCCGCCGCTGGATCACGGTAGTCCACCCGCTGGCAACAGAATATCGTCGAATTTCGCTACCACTCCCGTTATACTGGCAAATGCATACGCGATGGCTCAGAGGGGATCAACTGGAACCCTAGCCCACAGACGAGTTGGTGTCAGGATTAGTCTAACAGCTAAACCACAACAATCCCCAATCAACCAACCCTGCGATTGGTAAGCAGCATATTAGTAAGGAGATAAACAGGCATTCGTTGGATAGACTTGATTCGGCGGCCATATTATCAATGCTTTGTTACAAGCTGAATCCCCTCGATCCACCGTGGACGGAGAAGTGGAGGAAAGTTCCGCACTCCATCCAGGAGAAAGACCAATGATAGGGCCTGATAGACACAAAGTGGCCAGCGTCCATTTGTCATCACGCCAGATCGCGGGATTATCAGAGACCGACGATGCCGACTGAAGCAACCGATGGAAAGAGGTGGAGGAGGAGCAGACAAATTATATAAGAGATATCTATGGATCTGTCTGCCCCTCTCTCCTCCCATTCAATTCCACTCCTATCCAACAATCCTGTCTCTTTACCCTAAAAAAACACTACCAACAAAACTACACCATGTCTCTCAAGCCCATCACCCTCTACAGCCACGCCTCCGGCCCCAACCCCTGGAAGGTGGTCACCGTCCTAGAGGACCTCAAACTCCCCTACGAAACCAAGTTTGTCCCCTTCTCGGAGGTCAAGCAGGAACCCTTCATCTCCATCAACCCCAACGGGCGGGTCCCCGCCATCGAGGACCCCAACACGGGCCTCACCCTGTGGGAGTCCGGCGCCATCGTCGAGTACCTGGTCGAGACCTACGACAAGGAACACACCATCAGCTTTGCGTTCGGCACGCCCGAGTACTACCAGGCCAAGCAATGGCTGCACTTCCAGATGTCCGGCCAGGGCCCCTACTTCGGCCAGTTCGTGTGGTTCACCGTCTACCACCCCGAGAAGGTCCAGGGCGCCCAGGACCGCTACTTGAACGAGATCCGTCGTGTGTCGGGCGTGCTTGACAGCGTCTTGAAAGATCAGGAGTGGCTGGTTGGGAATAAGTACAGCTTTGTTGATGCCGCCTTTGTGCCGTGGTATGGGATCGTTCCCAAGTACACCGGCGACGCGATCGATCTGGCCAAAGATTATCCTCATCTCAAGGCCTGGCTGGATCGACTCCATGCCCGGCCGTCTGTGGCCAAGTCGATCAAGGAGCGCGCTGAAGCCACGGCCACTGTCCAACGGTAATGGTTAGGTCAATTTCAGGATCAGTTTTAGATGTCATGGATCAAGCCTAAATTATGAATCAATTGAATTGTCTAGAATGTATTCTGTAACTTCTGAATTCCAGCACGGTTTGTTGTAGATAGATACTCGGAGTCATGTGGCGATCTAGTCCCAAACAGGACTAGTGTGGTTATCAGGTCTTGGCGCGAGTTTTCCGTGTCGCGACTGGAGCGAGTTGAGCTCAGCGTCTGATTTCCATCCTCACTCATCTCATCTCTATCTTTCTCTCCCCCGTCGGGTGGTCTTGCCTTCCTCTTCTCCGCTGCTTTTACCTTCTTTCTCTCTTTTGGAACCCTTGCTTGTATTTGATTGTCGATCCAGAGTACCTGCGGCCTGGTCCCCGTTCTTCCCCGTCTGCTGAGGCCAGACAAAAGACCCTTGTTGGTTCCCCGTCGCTTGCGATCTCGATCCATATCCCCACTCCCCCCTTCTCCCCCATCATCACCCTCTCAAGATGGAAGACAGCCCTGCGATCTCCAGCGGCGCTGCCGATGACCTGCACAATATGACGACCGGTCAGGACGCCCCCGGCGATGTGATCAACGCCTCCGGTAGGTTTTTTCTTCCCTGACACCCTCCCCTTCCCCTAAGAGGATCCGGGATTTGCCAACATCCGCAATCATCATGACCAGAATCGCAATCGCGCCAAGAGTCTCCTGCGAAAAATATTGAGTCTGCTACGGGCACTGATAATCCGCTAGATGCCCCGGCTTCCCCCAAGCCGCAGAATGCGGAGGGGGACGCGGAAGATGAGGAGATGGGCGGTACGGAGACGGAGGCGAAGAAAGAAGGCGAAGACGACGCCGAAACCCCCGGACAGGCCGGTGCAGAGGGCGCGGCGGAGGAACAGCCCGCACAGAAGACATCCGTCGAATCGTCGGCACGCGATCATCTCGTGTCGCAAACCCATGCCATCATCCTCCCCAGCTACTCCACGTGGTTTGACATGCACGCCATCCACCCCATCGAGAGAAAGGCTCTCGCAGAGTTCTTCAACGGCCGGAATCGAAGCAAGACCCCCGCCGTCTACAAGGACTACCGTGATTTCATGATCAACACATATCGATTGAACCCCATCGAATACCTGACCGTCACCGCTTGCCGTCGCAACCTCGCCGGTGATGTCTGCGCCATCATGCGTGTCCACTCCTTCCTGGAGCAGTGGGGCCTCATTAACTACCAAGTGAGTTCTTCTGAAGGGGAGGCTGGTCCGTTTTTTTTTTTTCATGCTGACATGTTCAAGGTGGATCCTCAAACGCGTCCCTCCAACATTGGTCCCCCTTTTACCGGGCACTTCCGCGTGGTGGCCGATACCCCGCGCGGCCTGCAGCCATTCCAGCCAGGCCCCAATCACTTCGTCAAACCTGGAAAGCCTCTTTCCGCGACCGACCGGGCAGCGTCCGCCACACCCGCATCCAAGGCCGATCTCAACCTCGAAATCCGCCGCAATATCTACGATGACAAGGGCAAGGAGATCACCCCCACCACAGAGGAGAAGGAGAACCAAACGAATGGAGACGGTGCGGCCGCCAACGGCAACGGGGAGTCGGCGTCGAAGACCTTGGAAGAGAAAGACCCTCGAAAGAAGTCCCACTGCTTCTCGTGCGGGATCGACTGCACTCGCCTGCGATTCCACTACGCCAAATCGGCCCCGGCCAACGTCAACCCCAGTGCTCCGGACTCCAAGTACGACCTTTGCCCGAACTGCTTCCTGCAAGGCAGGATGCCCTCCAGCCACAGCGCCTCCGACTTCGTCAAGCTGGAGGACAGCGCGCACACCATCACCGCCGATAAGGATGCCCCGTGGTCGGATGGGGAGCTGGTGTTGCTCTTGGAGGGCCTGGAGAACTTCGATGACAACTGGGACCAAATTGCCAGCCACGTGGGCACCCGGACCAAGGAGGAATGTGTGATGAAGTTCCTGCAGCTCGAGATCGAAGACAAGTATGTCGAGGACGGCCCCGAGATGCGCGCATCGTCCGGACGGGACCCCATCAGCCAGGCGGAGAACCCCGTCCTGTCTGTGGTCGCTTTCCTGGCGCAGATGGCCGAGCCGGCCGTTGCAGCGGCGGCTGCGGGCCGCTCCGTCGACGAGATCCGGAAGGAGCTGCGCAAGCAGCTCGAGAAGGGCCCCGCCGCGGACAGGCCCCAGGACAAGGGCAAGGAGAAGGAGGGGTCGACCGTGAAGACGGAGGACTCCATGGACGTCGACAACACCACCACCACCACCCGTGACGAAGGCGCCACCGACGTGGCAGAGGTCTCCAGCACCGATAAAGATGGCAAGCCGTCTCTACCCACCGTGGCCCTGGCCGCATCGGCCGCTCGCGCGGGCGCCCTGGCCTCGCACGAAGAGCGCGAGATGACCCGCCTGGTCGGAGCGGCCGTCAACGTCACGCTCCAGAAGTTCGAGATCAAGCTGCAGCAGTTCAACGAGATGGAAGAGATCATCGAAGCCGAGCGCCGGGAGCTCGAACTCGCGCGCCAGCAACTGTTCCTGGACCGCGTGGCGTTCAAGAAGCGCGTCAAGGACGTCCAGGACACCCTGCAGGCTGCCAGCCTCAAGGGTCCCGGCGAGGAGGCGAACAACATGATCGCCGACGCGGCGAACGCCGCCATGGGCAGCCGTGTCAACTTCCAGCCTGCCGAAGGCCGCGCCGGCGTGCAGCCGCCGAGTGCCGAGGGAGGCGCCGATTACAAGACGCTGGAGTTGTAAATGGCGGATGATCTTCAACCATCGAAAGAACAAACAAATAACAAAAGAGCAAAAAAGTGTCAAAAAAAAATATGAAATTCATGACCAGATTGGGTAGGCTAGGAGGGCGGGTCGCGAGGGTTTAGTTCAGTTCAGTTCATTCTTATAATATCCATGTATTGTACATTATGCTCGGGCGTGGTATGGGCATTGCCAGGCCTTCATCCTGTTGATCTGATGGGAGCAAGCAGTGAAGGAGGAGGGGTAGGGAGTGAACACTGCTGGTGGGCATGGAAGAGCTGATGGATGTGATTATCTGTTGTTGTTTTCTTTTTCCTATTCCTTTCCTCAGGGGATTTGCAGATTTTACTCAGCTAGGAAAAGGCGTAAATTGTTTTGGGAGTTTAGAGTTAGTTTAGTTATATTATTGTCTGCAATCATTTCTTTACTCTATCTTCTAGCTTTAGTACTTTTAGTATGTCATATTCGAGTTGGATGTCTGCAGTCTGATGACTATATTAGTGGAAAATCACTAATTAATATTCAAACTACAAGTGTTTATAATGTCTTTTCCCTTCATAGTAGTTAATTTACAATATATAAGAACAGTAAGTAGATAAGTAAGTAGACGAATGCCCTCATAATCATTCATCAACGGGCCCAGTCCACTACCACGTATAGTATACACATATATACATACAATACAATCCATAACATGGACTCAATCATCCTCCCAGCCCAAAGGACTCATAGGACGAGAAAACAAAGCCTTATCAACTTTTTCATCCTCTTCATCATCTATGTCTCCCAAGGATGATCTCTCGCGGGCGCTGGGTAAGTCGTCGTCTTCCGAGCTGGACGTGTGTTCGTTTTTGGGCTCGGGAAATGGAGAACGTTGGGCTTTTTCGGATGTGATAGGCTGGGATTGGCTGGAATCTTGTTTGAGGGTTGGGGTTGGGGTAGGGGGAGGGGATTTGTTATTGTTGGTGTCGTTGTCGACTTCCATGTGGGTGTGGGTTTGGTTGTCGTCTTCGTCGGCGGCGTTCTCACTGTGTGAGATGGCGCTGTTCGCGGCTGTTGCGGGATGGTTATCCTCGCTATCGCTGGAGTAATCTGACTTGGGAGAGGCCTGACGCAGTCGTCGCCTCTTGCGCCTGTTCTCTGAGATCTCCTCGTAGATGCCAACAGTATCATGACCATGTTCCTCCCAGTCACTGCGGTATAAAGTCCTATCCCGCCAATTGGCAAGGTCGTCTTGTGTCTTGCGTTCGCCGACGGGCCGCTTCTTTGCCCGGGTGGTGGTGGGGTGATTGTCGGACTTGAGGCTGGGCTGGGGTTGGGGGTGGCCGAGGATCTCCCACAGGTGGGATTCTTCGAGACGGCTGGCTTCTTGGTCGAGTTGTTCGGCGTGGTCGTCTTCGGGGTCGACGGGGGTTTGATCTTCGTTGTCGGGGAGAGACTCTGCAGGGGAGGAAAGGATGGATGATTCTCGGGAGGGGTGGGATGATTCGTCTTCGCTGTCGTCGTCGTCCTCGTCCTCGGGCTCGTCCTTTGCGCCGGGGCGTCTGTTCGAGATGCTTCGCTCGCGCGACTCCGTGTCGTAAGGGGCTCGACCTGACAGAATATCTTCTACGTCGTCTAGGACCATAAGCACAGGCTTCCAGCCTCGTCGATTGCGGACGTCTTCAACGGTAAGGTTGCATCTCCGGGCGAGTCCCACCCAGTGATCGACTCGGTCACGCTTCATGCCCAGTACATCTAGAGCAGTGTGGACATCGCGGGAGCGTACAACTTTCGCCTTCGCATTGCCCGTCTCCCTCATGTTCCGCAGCCGCGACATGGCGAAGAACAGCGTGGAGTGGACGAGACGGCGCGTGACGCTCACGGCCAGCGTGTAGAAATCCGCAAGGCTGTCCGCTGTCATGGAGGGGGATTCGCCCGCGAACCCCACGTTGACCCAATTGTCGTCCATGCGTGCCCCGCCGGGGTTCATGAAGAAGCGCTCGGAGAGACGGATCCATGTGCTCAGATTGAATAGCCCCGCGGTGTGGTATACGCTGGAGTCGGAGTCGAGTTGCGTGTCGGCTTTCTCCGCGTCTTGGACCTCGTCGTCTACTTCTTGCGCGTTGTCTCGGTCTATGATCCACAGGTCGTGGTTTCGCGCTCTCCCGACGTCGTCTTCTGTTTGTTGCTCTTCGAGAGCTAGCAGCTCGGCGTATTGGTCTAGTGCGGAGCAGCACTTTCTCCCTACGTCCGCTGCGGCGGGAACGTCGCCTAGGATGATTGTCCGCGTGTGCCGGTCCCGCAGATGCTGTCGCTCTAGCCCCCTGTGCAGCAGTCTGAGGAATTCCTGGACCTCCAGCTCCGACTTGGAGCCGATGGCGCTGGCGATCTCCGCAACGCCATTCCTCCCCTTCCGGTGGAGCCAATTGTAGAACACCTGCTTCTCCTGCGGCGTCCAAATCACGATCCCATTCTGCGTAGCATTGTAGTTCTCGTCCACGGGGTTTCTCGACGGCACGGAATCGCCGATCGCATCTTCTAGCAGACTGTGGTATGCGTCCACGGATTCCTGCCCTAACGATGTGTAGAGGTCATTGAGGACCTGGTCGCGGGTGCCTCTCTTCGCGCGGAGATTTATCCTCGCGGAGGATGGGCCATTCGGCTCATGCGATGGGGAGACTAGGCGATTGCGAGCTGGAGGAGACGAAGGGGGGACATGCGCGCGGGTTTCGATGTCGGAGTCCGATGCGTCGTTGTCGTCCGGCTCGTAGGAGCTCGAGCTGCTCATCGTCAAGTTGGATGTCCGGGGCGTCGCACCAAAGACATGGACTCTGGACGAACGGTGGGAACATCACTTGTTCAGTTGATCAACTCGAGAACATCTTTGGATATTGGGATTCGTCATGGAAAGAATTGGACTGATCGAGATTTCTGATCTGATAAGGTGTTTGCAGTGTTTGCATTGCACCTTTACCGTCCTTCTCTCCATCGTCAACTGAACTACTCCGCATCTTATAACATCCTTCCAACCCATGGATCTGGATGGCTCTCCGTCGTGGAATGTCGGGCTTGATTCCCGTCCTACGTCTCTGGAGGCCGTTGACATTCGCATGGCGGCCTAAACTAGGGCAACAGTGGCGCTGCAACGCGACCCTGTCCCCCGGACCAGCACCGCAACAATCTTCACGCCCTGGTATAGTCCTGCGAGACTACCAGGAAGAATGCATCCAATCAGTCCTAGATTACATCAAGCAAGGCCACAAGCGCCTAGGGATATCGCTCGCGACAGGAGCCGGCAAAACGGTTTGTACGAAGCCACCGAACATACAACACGACACCTCGAACTAACCCTCTTTCTTTCTTCTAGGTAATCTTCACGCAGCTCATCGGCCGAATCCCCCCACGCAATGAAACCAGCAACAGAACCCTCATCCTCGCGCATCGCCGAGAACTCGTCGACCAAGCCGCCGCACACTGTCGTGCCGCGTACCCCGACCGAACAGTTAGCATCGAGATGGGCAACTTGAGAAGCACAGGCACAGCAGACATCACAATCGCATCGATAAGAAGCCTGCTAAGCCAGGACCGACTCGACAAGTTCGACCCACAGCGCTTCAAACTGATTCTCGTCGACGAAGCGCACCACATCGTCGCGCCGACCTACCGCTCCGTCCTCGACCACTTCGGACTCCAGGAACCCACCCCGGACGCGCCCGTCCTCGTCGGCGTATCCGCCACCTTCGCCCGCGCGGACGGCCTGCGCCTCGGCGCGGCCATCGACCACATCGTCTACCACAAGGACTACATGGACATGATCAACGACAAGTGGCTCGCGAACGCGGTCTTCACAACGGTACAGTCAAACGCGAAGCTCTCGGGTGTCAAAAGCGACAGCCGCGGCGACTTCCAACTCGAGTCGCTCGCGCGGGCCGTCAACACCGACACGACCAACACGGTCACCGTGCGGGCCTGGCTCGCCAACGCCGCCGACCGCCACTCGACGCTCGTCTTCTGCGTGAACGTCGAGCACACCCGCTCGCTGACAGACACGTTCCGCGCGCACGGCCTCGACGCCCGCTACATCACGGGCGACACGCCGCAGAAGCAGCGCGACGCGGAGCTGACTGCCTTCAAAGCGGGCGAGTTCCCCGTCTTACTCAACTGCGGGCTCTTCACGGAGGGAACCGACATCCCCAACATCGACTGCGTGCTCCTCGCAAGACCCACCCGCTCGCAGAACCTCCTCGTCCAGATGATCGGCCGCGGACTGCGCCTCCACCCGGGGAAGAAAGACTGCCACATCATCGACATGGTCGGCACTGTCGACGCAGGCGTCGTGTCCACCCCGACCCTGTTCGGCCTGCACCCGGACGAGATCATCAACGCCGCGACGGCGACAGAGCTAACCAAACGGCCGACCACACAACCAACCACGCCACCACCCGAAGACGTCGCAGAAGAAGAAAAAGAAGAAGAAGAAGAAGACACCAAGGCCACAGACTCAGACAACAACGAGATCACCCTCTCCTTCACCAAATACGACACCATCTACGATCTCATCCACGATCTCAAATCCGAGAAACACATCCGCTCGCTAAGCAGATACGCCTGGGTGCGCGTCGCCGGCAGCAACGCCAAGACCCCAGAAGAGAAATACATCCTCTCCGATGACTCGGGCTGGCTCACAATCACCCGCACCCCGTCATCCCCCCCCCGCCAGCAAGAAAACGAACCATACACCCTCCACCACGTCCAAAAATACACCTCCCCAACAACCCTCACCCCAACCTACACCCGCCCGCGCCTCCTCACCACCTCCCCGACCCTCCCCTCCGCAGTCCACGCAGCGGACACGTTCGCCTCCGCGCACTTCACAGAGCGGTACATCTCGTCCCAGCAGGGGTGGCGACGTGGCCGGGCGAGCGCTGCCCAAATCGCGTACCTGAATAAGGCGAAGGTGAGGGAGGGCAAGATGCAGACGTCGGATTTAACGCGCGGCCAGGCGGCGGATTTGATTACGAAGTTGAAGTTTGGGGGGAAGGGGAGGGTCAGGGGGGAGAGGGTTGCTAGGGAACGGAGGGAGAGGGTTGCTGAACGGGGAGAGAGGTTGAGAGAAAGACAGAGGGAGGGGGTTGTTAGGGTGGGGCCTGTTGGGTGGTGATATCTCTCTCACATTTTCTCTGTCTCGCACTCTCTCTCGTCCTTTCATCTGGTTGTATTTGTATACTTGGGATTGTACATGTATGTATTATTATTTTAGAAAGATCTCATCATACTACACTTATACTCAGTATATATTAAGTAGTCAAATAAGTAAATATTATATATCCCAACTCCTCTATCGTAAAGTAACACGCTGCGATCCACAAATCTATCTATATCTAGATCCACCCGTATATACAAGACATGTAAAGCAACTGTCTCAGCTGTGACCTAGCACCCTATCATAACATGGAGCCTCCATCCGATCGATCAATAGATAGGAAGAATGAAAAAGAGGAAGAAATAGTAAGTAGAAGAAATGATATACAAACCGAGTACCGGCCGGTGGGATCAGAAAGAATGAAAATAAAGCCAAGAACACCGCTCAATAGGCAATGAACTAGCTTAAACTCCGTAAGTGTGGCCAGCAGACCCTGAAATGCAATAAAGGGAATAAGATTGAGGGAAAAAAAAGTTGGGGTGTGCTGGGAAGGAATCGTGTAAAATGAGCGGGAGAAAAAGGATAACATTAGGGCTTTTTCTTCATGCTTCCGGGTTCGCAGACGCTGTCGTCTTCCTCGAGGGCTCGCCATATTCGCCGGATGGAGAAGCCGCTGCTGAAAAGGTAGACCCCTACTAGCCATGCCGAAAGAATATTGGCGAGGTAGTGCAGTAGATAGGCGTAGGAGACGCCGTAGACGGCGGAGTAGATCGCAATGGAGAAGAGGATGATTGAGGTGATGTGTTTTAGCCTTGTGATGTCAGCGGTGCATTCGACCTTCTGTGGATGGAGACATACCGTGAGGTGACTCTAGGAATCATAGTTCCCGTCGTCATGGCTTCAACAAGAAGAATGAATGGCATTACAGACATAACGTTATGGTGTGAGGAGAACGGCATAAACCAGTGCACGACTAGGTTATGGGCCCAGACCAGGAGGACCAGGATGTTGATGGGTAGGATCCACAGCATCAGGATGAAAATCGAGTGCGTGTAGTTGGTGAAATTGTAGGACGACGTAGACCTCTACATGTCGTTAGTCATGTTCAGACCCGAAGATAGATGTAAGACTAACCGTTTCTTTGGCATGCCACTGCGCCCGCACACACGTGGCTAGCTGCACGATACATGCCACCAGATAGGCAAACTGATACGGGATGACCGTTGATACTAGCATGAGGAGGACGGCGGTGGTGATAAGTCGGCGTCTCGGGGTGGCAGTAGAAAAGCTAAGGGCGTTCCTGGGGAATGATTAGTGGGAAACCTACTAATGTTTCGTATGTCACTTACTCTTTATCGTCGCGCTTGATGTAGCCCGACTGGCTGCTTAGGTGCCCGTAAACCGAGGACAGAATGAACAGCAGACCCATCGCAAGATAGTTGACAATCACGCACACCCCCACACTGATCAGACCAAAGATGGGCACCAAAAACCAGAAAAAGGCATCTTGCGAGCCCAACAAAAGGTCGTTCTTGGTAAAATCGACCGGCGCCTCGGTGGCGTTGATTTTCCAGTGGTACGGGTCATCACTCGGCGGCAGAACGGTCGGCGTCGCCAGAGACGAGGCCAACAAGGACATGGCGAGAAATAAGATGGGCAAGGACGAACGAAGGGCTCGATCGAGACCCTCGCCAAAGGTGATAAAGAACCCCGTATCGTCGTACACTTGGAACTGTTTGCGGAGGACCAAGGCAACGACGAGGATCGGGAAGGCGGCAAACACCGTCCGGTACCGCATCACCAGCTCGCCGAGACTGCTGGCGATGTCCACCGTCAAGTAGAGATCCACGGTGGACTCGCTGGTGGGATCGGTCCACAGCTGGAACGACACCCCGCCGAGGGTCGCTTGGTCGCGCAGCGGGGGTGGCATGAAGGGTGCCACACCGTGCAGGTTCACGTTGACGTCTTTCACGTTGACGAAGAACTTGGACTCATGCGGGTCGGGAATCGACTGCCGCAGGAGGGGCGCAAAGAGTTCTTGCCGCTTCCCGTCGCTGCGCCGCACAACCCGGAGCCGGTAGTCCAGCAGACTCGAGTGAAGCGCGGGGATCTTCAACTCGGTGAGCATGGGACGGCTGGCGGGCAGGCGCACTTTCAACCCAGCGCTGAGCAGACCGCCGAGGCCCATGCGAGCCCGGATCATGGAATCCGAACTGTCCGAGAACTCCGCCAACACCCAGCCCTTGGTGGGTGCGTTGGCCTTGTCGATGACCGCGACAAACTGGTGCTCCACCAGATCCTCCAGATCGTACTGGAGATACGAAAAGGGCCGGGTCCGATCGTACGGGTGATGCGACGTGTGGGTGGACGCCGGCAGGTGGATCTCGTCGTCGGCCGCGTTCTTGCAGGCGAGACGGGTCGCGTCGGCATTGCCCCCGGGGAGGTCCATATTTAACAAGGCGGGGGACAATTTGCCATCGTGCAGAGGGAAGACGCTGCAGAACAACACCCCCAGGCTGCCTTGATCTCCGGTTTTGTCCAATCCTTGGTCGGTCAGGAGGGTGAACTTCTTGCCCGACACCCCCTGGGGCGGAATGGGAAGAAGGTGGATGCCGGGACCCTGGCGGTGACCCAACTCGCGGAGGACCAGCCGTTGACCTTGCGATAAGATCGTGGTCGACTCGTCCTCAAGTGTCAGCATGGTGCTAGGTTCTTTCTGGGCCAATGTCCGCTCGGCCACCGACTCCAACCCCGTCAGGTACCATTTCTTGAAGATGCGCATGCGTTCCGCCCGGGGCTTGGTCTGACTGGCGCGCCGGACATCCACCACTTCAAAGAGCGACTTGACGATCGATTTCCGGAACTGGTCGCACCAGGTGATGGACAGGTGATCCATCCCAATCCAGACGTCGGGAATGGTGGAGGTGAACACGGTGAACCCGTGGGTCTCTGGGACCAGCGACGAGATGCTGGTATAGTCGGAGGGCACCACGGTGTCGCGGGAGCCGCCGGCGATGGAGATGAGGGTGACGTGCCACAGGGGGTTGTTGTTGGCCCAGGTCTGCGAGTAGGCCTCGCGCCAGTAATCGTTGATCTGCTTGTAGGTATGGACGACATCGGATTCGAACGAGACGGGGGGTTTGGCGTGCGGGGCCGACATGGTGATGATGGTATTGACGGAGTTCGCTTGGTAGTTGGCCATGGTCAGCGTGGTGCGCGCCACGATGCCGCCCATGGAATGGCCCACGAGGATGATGGAACTCGGGTCGGGTAGGTTGGGGTCTCGGCGAAAAGATCGCCGGGGATCATGATAGAGGGAGAGGATGTAAGCGATAGCTTCGTTCACGTATTCGGCTTGATCGAGCAGGGTCTGGCCATGGAACGCGGCCATATCCTCGTTGAAGTCGATCATGAAGAAATCCAGGCTCCGGGTGCCGAGATTCAAGCGTTCCTGGTCGTGGCGGACGACGTCGGCGTAGTGTCTGGAGGCTTCGGCGGCCAAGGATCGGACCTGCCGATAACTGCCCGCATTTCCGGGGAGAAACAGGACAGGGGCACCATTCAACTAGACACGGTTCACAATTAGCGAATTGACCACCTTCCTCGCGAGCTTCAGCACACTTACCCCGAAATTGTCGCGGTTGTACCCATCAACGCCAGCCTCCCGGTAAAGATAGAGATTGTATTTGCTGGCGAATCGCGTATGTTCGGTGTCGAAGCCCTCCATGGGCAGAAAGGCCGGGCTCATGACGGGAATGCCACAGCCATCCCCACCGGTCTGCCGGGCGGAGAACGAGCGGAGGATGGAGAAGAGGAAGACGGAGGCGAGCAAGGTGGTCAGGGCGGTCAGGATGGAGCAGGTCCAGGGGCTGCGCAGACGGGACGAGCGAGCGCGCTGGTGCGCCTCTGGAGAAGACTCCATGGGCAGGCGCTGGGATGCGAGGGGGATCATGAGGGAGGAGGGTTTCGGCTCGTTGGCGGCGAGAGTGACGGTGGAAGTGGAGGACAAGGTCCTCCACAGACCGGAGTTCCTGGGTCGCGGCGTCGCGGCGCCCGTGGAGTCTTGACGACGGAGGTCGAAGCTGGTACTGGTGCGGGCTACCTGCGGACGCGATTTCTCCGGCGGATCGAAAGTATTCGGGGCATGACTCGGGTCGAAGGAAGTGCGGGGGATCAGGGAATCTTCAGTGTCGTCCTCGACCGGCGAACCAGACGAGCGTCTGTGCATTGGAAGAAGTCGCGATGGTGGTGATACTCATCCAGTAGTAGGGGGGGGAGGGTTTCGGAGGTCGGGGAGGAGGAAAATCGCAGCGGCGGGAAGGAGTGGGAGTGGGATTGAGCGGCAAGGGGAGCCGAATTAAGGTGTCTCAAGGAGTCGTTTTCAGATGATTTTTCCCAGCTGTTTTGTTTGGTGATCTTTATCCTCCTGTTTATTTCTGGATGAACGATTCGTCAACAAGATTTGTCCCTGTTTTTCTGTATTTTTTTTTCTTCTAATTTTTTCTTCCTTATTCGCCTCTTGTCTTGGATCAAGACTTGGCTTGGAGAATGTTAGCTAGTCAGACCGGGAAAGCCGAACGAGTGGCAGGCCGACCGAGACGGAGGTATAAACGAGAGCCGACTAAACGAATGAAGAGTAAGACAAAGAAAAACAAAGAAAATTCAGAAAGGAAAGAAAGAAACGACAGTGGATAGAGAGAGAGGGGGGTGGGGGAACGAAAGAAGGAGAAGAAAAAAACGAGAGAGATGAAGAGGAGAAAGACTGGAAACAAAGAGATTAGATGGGGTGCAAGTGGACAGTCCAGAGTATACACGGGTTCCTGCTATGCAAGGCCGCAGACGGGCAGCCAGCCTTGGCGTTGGTTTCGTTCAACGGTTCGGATGTATGAACATCGTCGATGTGAGCAAAGTGATGGTCGTGTTGATTTGATCGAATGAACTTGATCAATATGATGATCCGGAAGTAAAAGTCAAGTCAAGATGTCGAGGTGCGACATTCATCGTAATATATACCTGTTCAACGCACCACAGATAAGAAACAGGGAAGTCCAACCATGATATCCAAAACAACCACCAGAGAATGCTCAAGGAATCACCCAGCGTACTACACGTACGACCGACCAGACTCAAAGGAAGAAGACCATTACGCCATTTGGAGAAGCCTCTACTTAATCCCTCACCAATCAACGTTCCCCGTCTAATAACGCCTAATGAGCCCATCCATGTCGTGAAACCCGGTCTATACTAGAAGTGTTATAGACCTCTATACCTATTCCCTACCTAGGACTGTAGTTAGGTAGTAGTACTAGTGAAACAGAAATCTACAAAAGCAGCCTCTCCCCCATCGTGTCGCTTGTTTGTTTCCTCTTCCTACCTAGATCTCTAGATCTCCCATCATCCACCTTTCACCAACATCCACCTCCAAGAGAATGATCCCTCATTCTGTAGTCTAGGTAAGCATACACGGTTTCTTTCCTCACACAGGCACCATTTGTCTCCAGCCACATGATGATCGACACCCAAAAATGAATAAGTAAAAAACGTGACTGGACGGGCCTACAACCTCGTTCAATGAGCACAACATTAAGCAGACTCTGAGGCTTCTCTATCTTATCACAAGATTGCATTGACAGTATCATATCAATCTCCATATGGGTCAGTCGCTAACCTTATCTACGGACTTACCTTAGGATAACCCACCCAACCAACCTGACCAACCCGACCAACCCGACAGATAGACGTCGGTTCCCGACCTTACACAGTGACCAAACAAGAACAAAAGAGACAGGAAAAACGGAGAGAAACACACACCGGAAAACTAACCAATATAAGCAAACATCCCCCAATCCCTCCTTCTTTTAGCGTCCGGGGTATGGGCCGTTCGTCCAATAGATCTAGAGAGGATGGTCTCGAGGCCGCGTCACGGGCTTGGCGTTGACCTTCACTACGACTAACTTCTTATGGAGGTGGTGGCTTCAACCCTAATTTGGACAGGGTTGATTGACTGATCCGATACGTCTGTTTGAGACATGGTGCTATCTAGTAGAGAATGTAGATTGGTTCAACGGTCCATTATGGACTTCATAGATCAGTAGTATATTATACCCGTCGATCAGCAGGAATAGCAATGTCTGAAACAGCCGTTGATAAATATAGAACAGGTTCATAAACATCCCACATAGTAACCCTCCACATCATCCGGTCCAGTACTCCATCATTCGTCATGTCGCATCCCGGCCTTCTCAGGATCGCCCTCCGTCCCCCGGTGAGCGGTCACCTCCGCCAGATCCGCGTCGTGCGCAACGTCAAACTGGCGACCCAGTCGCTCGGGCCCCAAGAACGTTACCAGGATCGTGTAGGCGTAGACCGCCCCCATCAGGATGCAAATCACCCGACCGTATTCGTAATGCTTTTCCCCGTCCGTCGACGGCAGCGGGTACCGTTCGCCGATGGTGGCTTCGATGGTCGTGCTCGCCGACGAGACCAGGTTGCCCAGCTGGTAGGCCGTCCCCACGGCGAAGGTGCGGATGGATCCGGGGGAAAGCTCCATCAAGTGGATGGGGATTACGCCCCAGGTGCCCTGGACGCAGAACTGCTCGAAGAATGCCGCGGCCATGATCTTCTGCGATGGGACGAAGGTGTATGGGTAGAGCAGTGCGCCGCCGACGATGCTGATCACGATGATTGAGAAGCGTCGTCCGAAGATTTGGCTCGACCAGCCGATGAGCGTGCCTCCGGTTAGGGCGCCGAGGTTGGCGACGACCTGCGTCACGGTGACGGCGTCTTTGGAGAAGTTGTATTGGTTTTCAAGCATCGTCGGGTACAGGTCTTGGGATCCGTGGGACTAGAGAAGGATACCATTAGAATAGCCTCGTTGAAACGGAGAGTGGATGGGGACGCACCATGAAATTGAACCCCGTCATCAATAGGACCAGGTAGAGCAAGATCAGCCAATGCCGCTTCAGCGCCACTTTGCCTTCCGACAGGAACGTCGACGTGACGCCTCCTTGGAGATCCTCCCGGGTCGCCTGTCGCTGACGGAACGTTTCTGTCTCGGGGAGACAGAGACGGAAGGCGATGATCAGAACGGGAGGGCATGCGCCAAACCAGTATAATGGTCTCCATCCATGCGGTGTAGTATCAACCAAGGCCCGAGCAAACGCAGTAGCCAGCAAGTAGCCAAAGGCGTAACCCTGCTGGAGCAACCCCGAGACAATCCCCCGCGCCTCCATGGGACAATCCTCCAAGGCGGTGGCCGCGGCGTTCCCGTAAAGACCGCCCATGGCGATTCCGAACAAAGCGCGACAGGCGAGGAACTGCTTATAGGTCTGGCAGAAACCCGTGCCGAGCTCGAGCACGATGAAAAGAACGTTGTTCACAATAAAAGGCCACTTGCGACCCCAGCGGTCGGCGGCAATGCCAAAGGTGATGGCGCCGACGGATCGGAGCATGAGCACGAGGGTGATGCCCCAGGTGATATCTGTTATCTCCTTGCCGAACTCCTTCGCCAGCTCCGACGTGGTCAACGAGACCGTGAAGAAGTCGAAGGCATCCCAGCTCCACGCGAAGAATGCGACCTGGGGGGGTTAGTTCCTATTGCAAAAGTCAAGGGCGTGTAGGCCTACCGAGAAGAAAAGCCACTGCTGCCTGTTCAAAAGAGCCAGAGAGCCGAGCGGGTTTGGGACCGAGTTCATTGGAGGCATCAGGGTCGGTACCCGAGTCACCAGATACCGCAAGACACCGACGTGCTCCATTTCATCGTCATCATCTGGAGACGGGAGCGGACGCGCCGCAATGGGCTCCTGCTTCGTCGTCTCCGTCATGGTCAATCTGGATCCAAGTGACGAGAAAGAGAAGGGCGACGGGCGAGGGGAAGATTGGATAGAGATGAGACCGACGGGAAAAAAGAAATCCAAGCGGGGGATCAGGCGGGACAGGTCAGAGTTCCTTTAAATGAGTAGCGAAGGATCAGAATGCTGGACGGCAGACCGGTACGGCTCTCGACAGCGGATAGTCAATTGTCCCGATGAACCCCGCAGAGGGTGAAGACTAGCCCGAGTCGTCGTGGCTAATGGAGAGATGGGCGTTCCAACCAGTCTGAGACATGTTGTGTGCCGATCTCTGACTCGGTATTGGGATAGTCAGCTTGAGTGATGATATCGGGAGGACAGTTGTAATTTGGGACTGGTGACCAAACAAATAGAATGGATCCCTTGCGTTAGATATCGATCGGTAATATGGGAATGCAATAAGAGAAAGATGTGTGTCCATGACCGCATGAACGGGAATGAGCTGGAGGTATCTCGGTACTTGTAATCATACTATACTACTATTACTACTACTACTACTTGGTAGTATAATATTCGGTGGCCCGCCAAGCTTTTACTCCAGATGGGCCGAGCTTCTCTCCACAATCTCCTCTCTCTCCAGATTCCACTTCTCGCGTGTCCATTCTCCATCCCTTTGAATCGACATACATCTTCATGGTCCATTCCTTTTCAACCCGTTTCCTTCCATCCTATACCCCATATACAATAATCAACATCCCCAGAAATACGACATAATACCCCCCACCAGCCCTCCAAGCTAGTAATCACACAATCCCCCACCATTCGCTCCCCAGGATCCAGCCTTAAATCCTGGCCCCACGCTCAAAGCACTCACAACGAATAACAATTCAGCTCCAACCGCACGAGACCCAGCCAAACCAGCCAGACCATCATTTGCTCGACAAAGATGGAGATAAGGGGCTCGTGTGATCCAACCTGACTGGACAACCCGCACATGGCCCGATGTCACTGCGACGGTTCGACATCCACTCACTCAAAACAATCAAATCCCGTGTGGTCTGGAGTGAGGAGTCTCTTTCCCCCACGCGACATGTGCGGAATGTGGCCGTGGGATCGTCTCCATTCATAAATTGGTTTACCCGAGGCTCAGTGTGTCTGGAAGGTAAGCATCAGGATGGCGACTTGGCTAGCTAGTCTCTGCCACTTATAGTATGTATTGCCGGCTTGGCTTGGCTGCCCAGCCTGGGCACAAAGCTTTTTTTGACTGACTGCGGAAAACATTATCCGCATTGGAATGAATAAATAAGTAGGAGAGAAGGGAAGAAAAGAAGAGAAAAAGAAGAAAACAGAACAGGTCCGAGCATAACTTACTGCACCCAATACAGGACCACCAACCACGAACAAACAAACGAAGGAGAAAAAAAAAATATATTTATAATACAGCAGAATAAAAGACTCTAGCCAAGAATCAAAAATCTCTCATGCATAATCCAAGGCCAACACCAAGTCAGGCATGTCAGCTGGCGATCACGACGCCTCTGATACTTGAGTAACCCCCCCGGCCTGGGCGTCGTCATTTGCTTCTTGGCTTTACGGCACTTACCATGTTGGTTTCGTACTCAATTTCTTTCTTTCTTTTTTTCTAATAAGAATAGAGAGAGAGAGAAAGAAAAGAAAGAGGGAGGAAGAAGAAAGAAAAAAAAAAAAAAAAAACCATGTAAACGGCAACCTGCAGGCCCTTACATCCTTGGCATGCACAGAGTACGAGTAGTGCTGGTAGCCTATCGATACTATCACACTTGATTATGCATTATATAGTAACATGATATAGTTATAACATGTCGTTAGTTAATTCCACACCTGGATTCCCATCATAATCAATCATATTGAACGGGCCACCACTGGTGATATACCCGGTAGATATGTAAGAAGGTAGAGATATATTTCCTGAAGGGGGTAGTGTATTTATATTATGTACCGGGGCGGGGCTGGGCTGGACTTTTAACTGGAGACGGAAATGGTGATAGATTGATCGACTTTCAATTCGGCCGAGAGGACCCTGATTTATGAATGAGTGGAATTAAATAATTCGGTATATTCCAGGGTATCTGTAAATACAGACAGACATGATATGATATGGTATGAAGTAGCTGTATGCACGTCACAAAACTAGTAGCTAGCAGCCCATGCACAATTGTGGTGTAGTGGTAGGAGAGTACAGCAGAAATCTCCATACTCCTGTACAAATCATAAAAAAGAAAAACAACCAGAGAGAAAAAGAAAACAACCAGTACCTAGAATAGTAAAACATCGCTAGTCGTGACATCAAAACAAGCAAGAAAGAAACAAAGATATAAAAACATATGTACGGATACTCAGGCTCAGCAATCACCAATCTTGCCCGCGATCTCGCATCAGAATCTCGATCGCCTCGTCTTCCGGAACGGGGTGATCGTTTAATTCCTTAACGCACTGCGTTAACCCCTCGGCGGCGTCGTCGACCTGCTCCGCGGACCAACCCGTACAGGCCATGACCATGCGGCGGTAGTTTTGGCCGAGGACGACGTTTTTGGACTTGAGGCGCTCGACTTCGGTGAGGATGTTGTCGTTTACGCTGGTGTAGCCTTGCATGTATCGCTGGAGAGTCTCGGGGGGTGGGAGGGAGTTTAGGAAGGCTGCTTGGTGCTCGGTGAATCCTGCGGCTGGGTCGAATGATTCGGGAAAGATGGCTTCGTACTCGGTTACGTCGAGGCCGGAGTCTTTGTCGGCTTCGCCGACGGGGATGGTCTTTGAGGGGTTGAATGTGTCGCCGTGAATCCCTTTTAGGATGATGAGTAGGTCTTCGGAGGACCGCTCGAGGTTTTTGAGTCGTCGGCTGAGCTCGATACGGTCTGAGCTCTGGCGTTTGAGCCCGTCGAGCTGGCGCTGCTCAATCTGTCGTGCTTTGGCCGTCTCGCGGATTTTGTCGTGCCAGTGGCTGAATTTCTCTTGCTTCTTCGTTAAACTTGTAGCAAGGTCCCTGTCGATACCGCCTAGCGTATCTTGGACCATCGAGCTTATTTGAGCCAATGTTGCTGGGAGATGATTAGTATATTGAAAGGAGCGAGTTCCGAGGAAGCCTTACCATCTAGGATCTCCTTCTTTGTCTTGGCAAGCTGGTCCATGAACGAGTCTCGATTGCCAGACTGCTGGCATTGCCCATTCCCATCCACCATATCCACGCCAACCCCGTAATCCGCAGGTCGCAGTCCCGTGTGGTTCGGAATGTGAGGATCGGCACCCACTTCGAGGAGTTGAGGCACCAAGACAGACCGTGCCCGTCCGGCCAGATTAAGCGCCGTGTCTCCTTGGTCGTCCCGGAGATTGACAATCTCAGAGACGAACCGGCCCAGAGTGATGACTTCGCCTGCCGGCGGAGCGCTCTGGCCATTCTCCTGCGTCCCGTTGGGCGTCCGTTGGTTAGTGCCGCCGTGGCGGACGATGAACTCGAGTAAAGCTTCCAAGTAATGCTTCGCCGACACGTGCCCTCCCCCTCCCGTGGCCGCCATGACCGCGATGTGGTGGAGGATCGTTCGCCCACTGTAGTCAACCATGTCAATCGTCGGGGCCAGGATCTGTAGCAAGCGCGGGAAGCTCCGGTAATCGAGATTATTCCTCGTTCCAACCGACTTTTGCAACGCAGTTTCGCCAGCCCCGTTGAGGCGGAAGATGGAGACGCCCTTGGCGACCAGGGCATGGACCAGGGGCATGCGGGCCAGCATCGCCGCCCAATGCAAGGCGTTGTTCCGGTATTCGTCGAGTGGGATTTCCAGATCATCGCCGGTGAGCTGCATCAATGCAGGGTGGGTTGTATAATCCTTGGTCCGCTTATCGAGAAAGAGTGTCATGATGAGCTTCATTTTCTGGAACCGCTCGGGAGTGGTCGCCGGCGCAAGAGGCTCGTGGCCGGTCTTGTCCCCGTCCATCACGACAGAGGTTGGCACGTCCATATCTTGGTAGAAGGAGTCGTTGGGCTCTGTCGGCGTAGGCTCGTTCATCGACAACGATGCAGGCTCGTACTGCATCCCGAACGATGGAGTTTGGTGGGACGAAGACCTCATGCGCTTTCGCGGAGGCTCGATCGAGTCCTCGTGCTCGAAGCCAATGTGATCATGGGGAGTCCGCCCGTTGGCCTGGAAATTGCTCCCGAAGCCGCTGTCCGAGGTCATGCTGTACATGCTTTGCTGGCTGCCAAAAGGCATCTGGGACTCTTGGCTGTTCATCTGGGTCGACGGTTTGCGCACGACACTCGACCGCCGACTATCCGCGCCCCGCGCGGCAGGGGAATCGAACCGTGCCTTGCTCATGGCGTTGACAGCCGTCGCCGCGGTGCGAGAGATGTTCTGAAAGAATGTGCCTTGCTGGGGTTGAGACATCCCTCTGTTTTCCATCCCGCTGTAGAGTCGCTTTCGTTGCGCAGCCATCGCTTGTTCCTTCGTGGGGGTGTCCAAATGATCGCGCATAGAGCCACCGGTACCGTTGGATCCCATGTCGTATTCCAGCAGTGGCCGCAGCAGTTCCTCGACGTGATACTCGCGACACAGGTCCACGCCCCTCTGGTACTGCACCCACGTTCCCTGATATTTGCCATACCCGCCTTGCACCTTTTCGTGCTCACCCGCGGCGATCTCCTTCTCGAGCGTCTTCGTCCGTCGGGCTTTGACCACACCAGCCACCTTAAGGATCTGGGTAGCATTGAGCCACGAGTCGGAGCGACGCTTCATGACAGCGACACCATTGACCTCCATTTCGTAGACGTGAATATTAGAATAAACAGCCTAGCGGCAGAAAGAAGTTAGTCGAGACGTCTCCTGTCAATCAAAGACCAGTGACCACCGGCGCAGGGATACCCACCCGATAGATTTGCGGTCTAAACTCATCCGGATAAGGGATCATCGTCCCATACCCATTCACCTCCTCGAACCCACCCATGTTGCCCCGGGAGCCATGCGGCATACCGTTGGGATATGTGAACGACATGGCCGACTGTTGCGACATCTTGGGCGGAGGGGGCGTGGCTCCGGGCGTGGAAGCTACCGACTGAGAAGCGTTGAACGAGCCCATCTGCGACTGCGAGAAGGACATCCCGTTGGCGGAGCCGACGCTACTCTGGGAGTATGACATGGGTAAGCTGGGGCGCGCTGGAGGGTTGTTGGACGCCATGGCAGCGGTCGGATATCAGCGTCGGGGACCCAGCTCTGACACCATGCACGGGTGAGATCTGGACGACAGTGAATGATTGGATTGGGAAACCGTCGAGATGGTTCTCGAGGCGGCGATCGAATGCTCAATAGGCGTCACGGATATCAACAGCCGTGAAGAAAAGCGAAAAGCATGTGGGGAAAGTGCAGCTATCGTAGGAGATCTCCCGACCAGGCGTCGGACAGGCGCGCGAGGAGGCGAAGGAGGCGCGTGGCTAGTGCCGGGACCACGAAAGGGATGAGGACGGGATGCCAGCTGGCACAGAGAAGAGATAGAAAACGGTGCAAAGTAGATGCGGAATGTTATCTTTGATCGATGTCACTCTGTATAATTCGAGAACAGTTCTATCCCCATGCAACGACTAGCGGTGTTGAATTTGCAAGAATGAACTGATTACAGGCTCGAAAGTCGCGGGGTCCGGCCGTCTTTCTTGGGGGGTCGCGTTTTGGGCCTAGTGTTTCGCGTAAGTAGCTGCCCCAGGCCAAAAGCATGTATTTCCTGATTGGGTTAGTCTTCAAGTTCTGTCGCTGGTTATACAGTACGAAGGTAGCTTATTATCACTTTTACCTGCTTCAATACCTACGACTATATTCCTTTCTCTCGGAAAGTTCCCACCATGGACCGCTTCCAATCAGGGGCAGTCCACCCCCAAGAATGGTCCCGCCTATACAGATGTCTCCTCCGCGAATGTTCCTACCTCCCGGACCCCGTCGCCCGAACACACATGCACAGCTACGTCGTCCAGCGCTTCCGCCGCTACTGCCAGCCAACAGTAAGAGACGACCTCAAAAGCGACTGGAACCGACAGAGCCGACTGCTACGCACAGGGAAACAAAAACTATCACTCCTCACACGCGCCAACGAGGGCTACCTCAAGCCATTCGAAAAGGTTCTGCGACTGGCCTACGGACGCGAAGGGTCGCAGAGACACGCATGGACAGACAAGATGATCGAGAGCGACGTGCCACATAACAACGAAGCGGTGGAGGAACTCATGAAGCAGCCGTCGCAGTTCGAGGACGGGTGGAACCCCCCTAAGATCGTCGTCGAGCTGTTGCGCTCTCAGCAGGGGAACCCGAACCTCCAGCAACTGCGCCATAAGCAGCCCAAGCAGCTTGCTCCTGTGATGCGCAAGACTGTTTGGGGGAAGGATCCTTGTTTGCGCCGCCGGCGGAATATACGTAGGACGTGGTATACCAAGGTGAAGGCGGGTTTGCTGCCGCCGATGCCGGATACGGAGCGCGCTACCTTACTGGGGTTGTTGAGTGGTGAGATTTCGTGGAATGCGCCGGCGCGGCGGACAAAGGCCAGGTCGACGGAGAAGGCGAAGGCGGCGGAGGGAGGGACTGTTTTGAACAAAGAGCTCCTGCTGTATGGGCCGAAAAAGGGCGACACGTTCGAACGGTTTTCGAGTGGACGGCCGCATATGTTCACCCTGCGCTTTATGCGGAGGTCCTGGAGACGCATACTGGCCATGACGCCACATATCGAGTGGGATGGTCCGGTGAAACGGCGAAACATTCGGTGGGAACCGCTGAGGGAGGCTTCGAGCTTGTTCGAGACGCTCGAGGGAGATGATACTATTTTCAAGACATCTGGAGACAGAAAGGCGACGAAGACGGTCAATGCTGAGTAGTAGCCAGACAGAGCTATGCTTGTGCAATTGAAGATGCGGGTAGTTCGAGCTGCTCAAAACACTCGAGGGGGATAAATACTATTTTCGGGGCTGCCGGAGACAAGAAGACCAAGACGGATTGATTACTTCGACTCGGCCGTGGTCAAGCGGTGCTATCCTTATGGAACCGAAGCGATGAATATCTCGACTCCGGCTACCCAGCTACACAATGCAAACACCAAGTCCACACGGCAACGACAGCATTCAGTAAGCGTCTACAGAACAATACGCTGTACGGAATTTCTATCCGGTATGATGATCCAACAGCCAAAGCCAAAGGCTTCCATTTCATCAGACAAACAGACAGACAGACACGAATGACACGATACCTTACCTATCTATATTTGCCTATCTATATCCCAAACCGATACCGTTGAACATGATCCTTAGAATGAACCAAGAAAGAAAGAAAGAAAGAAACACAGACGAACAAGAACGAGAGATACCCTGGAAAGCCCAAGAAAGGGGCAGAAGATTCCCCTCACAATCAAATGTATACCTGCGTGTACGTGTGCGTGTACCCGCGACACCATGCATGTATCTACCATAACTATATGATTAATAGTTCAAAGGATGTACAGAACATATCAGAATAATGGCTACCTACCTACCTAAGATGCATGCAGGATAGAAACTGAAATCAATTCTACTACAGGCAATCTTTCCCGTACGACCTTGAATCCAGTTCTAGCCAGGACTGATGCGAGTCAGGTATATGAGGGGCTTCAAGACACTGACGACACTTTTGGGAACAAGAAATTCAACTTGGCCTAGTTTCTGTTTCGCATGTGGGGGAACAGATTATACGAAATACAGGAGATGCGAATGAGTTAATCGGGTACTTGTTCTACAGGAATGCTACCACGGAAAATGTCTTTGTTTGAAAATGGGGATACCAAAGCTAGCAGTGAGGAGTTATTCTGAAGAGGGTTCGCAGCGTCTTCACTCTGGCGTTCCACCAAGCCAGGTACGAAACTAGTCACTATCGCTGGAGCTGGAGCTAGAGCTAGAGCTGGACCCGCTCTTCTTGTGCTTCTTGTGCTTCTTTTCCTTCTTGTGCTTCTTATGCTTCTTGTGGCTGTGAATAGTTAGCGGTGTCCATACACCAATAGACATAGGGGAAAGATCAAGGAAAGGAGAGAAGAAACTCACTGCTTCGTAGCCGCGTTCATCCCCACGGCACCCGCCAAGGCTCCCCCAGCCGTACCCAGCATGCCACCTCCCAGCTTGTGACCGACGAAGCCACCACCGGCAGCACCCATGATGGTAGAGCCTAGACCCCTCTCGCCCTCGGGTCCGACGGGCCCTGGGCCCATGTGCCCACCGCCCTGCTGCGGATGGCCACCATAGTACGAGGCGGCGCCGGCCTGATGATCGGCGGGGGGGTACGGCGAGTGGCTGGCGCCGCGATCCTGGGGATAGCCCTGTCCGGGGTAGCCGCCCTGGTGCTGAGCAGGAGGTCCGCCGTAGGAGTACTGAGGCGGGGGCGCTCCCGAGTACTGGGGGTTGGAGTGCTGGTCGTAGGGCTGTCAAGACAAGAAAGTAAGTAAATAAGTAGATAGATAAGTGATAGATCAAGGAGAATGATCAGCGCGGGGGTTGGTATGCAACAGTGCGTCTACCCTGCAGTAGTGTGTCTGCATGGAAGGTGAGGAATGCGCGTCCCGGGAAGGGAAAGGAGGGGAAGAGTCTAGACTGGAAGGATACGTACCGAAGGCGGATAGTGACCTCCTTGTTGTTGGTGATGTCCGTACGGATCATGGGCCGGGGGAGCACCGTATCCGGGCTGAGGGTGGCCTCCACCGTAGTAGTCCTGGCCGGAGCCGGACTGCGGGGGAGCGCCCCCGTAGGGAGGATAGTAGTTGTTGTTATTGTAGGAACCTGACATACTGATAATGGGAACGACGATAAGGATGTTTTGGTGCTCCGTTGTGTGTATTAAGGGGACGTAGGTGGGTGGGTAGAGAGGTAGGTGTATGCAAGCCAAGAAGCGAAGCGGAGAAAAAGAGGCCAGAGAAAGAAAACAGGAGGGGCAGATTAGATGGTGAGATGGGAGGAGGGATGGTTTTATTAGGGAGGAAAGAAAGACCCTGGTCGATGGGTTGAGGGGGGCAGTGTCGGGACTCGGTTAGTATGGTCTATGGTACTTAATTTAACATTGGCTTGGTTCATCTCCTACTTATATATGATAAAAGAATTGATAGTTGAACAGATAGTGAGGATAACTACAGTGTGTTTGAAGTGAGATCTATGAGCTGCGCATTAATGCAGTGGTGACAGGTGAACTCATTGTTGAGGGGCTGGGGAGATGATGATAAGCGGGGCGGAGGGGATTCCACTGCTTTGGAACTAGTGAATATTGGCATTGTCAGACACGGCTGCATTTTAATCAGGAGTCTCAGGCTGTTGTTAGAAGAAATCAGTCATACAACACAGTAGTAGGTGAGAGAGATCTGGTCTGATCAAGCATGATAATTCATTTCATTATGAGGTATACATGAGGTTGACTTGATGATGGGAGTACTTGAAACTCTCATACTGAGTCAGGAAGAGAGTGGAGATCATAATTGATAAATGCCACATTTCTAGGCTGTCAATACTATAGTCAATCTGACCTCATCTGGATCTCAGCATGACAGACTCCAGATTTCAATAATAATGTTATACTTCAGGCAGCAAAGAGACTCATGATAACGTTCTGTCGGTACCTTAGAGTTACGGCATGAGTAAAATCATATAATATGGTATGATGCTGTATTTGATACCTGTATTATTCCACAATTTCGCACCAAGGAGAAATCAGACGGATATACATACTAACAGTACGGAGTAGTCTGTACACAGAGCAAGAGGAGGAAATATGAATACCGTGTCTTTTAACTCGATACCCCGAATCTCGCTAGAAAACCAAGGAGACCGATGTACTCCCTAGTACCTACCACCAGGTACTTCTATGGAGGTACCTATCGGTACCTAGTCCTACGGACTCCGGAGTATACAATATGGTTAAGGTTTGACCCACCAAGAAGGGACTCGCCACTCCTTTTCGCGGGGGATAACAGTTCAACTATCTTCATGCAGGATACACTTTTAGTCTCCATCTAATTTCGGAGACAGAGAGAAAGGGAAAAACCGGCGGTGAAAGGAGAAAGGCGGTGATGGTTTCAGCCTGTCAGAGTTGCGACCAAAATAACCACCACCAGCCAACCGAGTGGGATGCTCACCCTCCATCAGAAAGGGCTTCTATTTTGGAGGAAAGGTCAAAGCCATGTTAATATGTGGTCATTATTCGCTGGTGGCCAGGAAGGCGACAAGGCATCGGCACGTTCATGAGGGCGAGACCGGAAAGAAATCTCGGAGAGTCCATGGCTGGGTGGAAGTCTATGTTATTATTTTTTATTTTTTTATCATTCTTCTCTTATACGTTGAATATAATTGGTTGACTTTCCACAAGGAGTGTCAAGATGAAAATCATAAGAAAAAAACAATAAAGGAAAGGGAAAAAAAAGGAAAGACTGCGCCACCGGTGGCGACCGAGATAATGCCAGCATCTGCAGGCCAACACAAAAGACACTAAATTCAATAGTTCTTGTATCCCCAGATTAGAGAAAGTCAGGACTGACTTTCGAAGCCAATAGAGATCACACTGATTACTGTCATCAAGACTTGGTTTCTTAGATGATCTCGGTTTCGTCTCATCATTCCGTAACACGAGCAATCCAGGCACGGGATCTGTTTGACTTTCACCCTTATCATCAATCATCGGAGTAATTAAAAAACAGAAGAAGTAATAAACAATCGATAGTAAATGTATAATCCCACGTCAGAATACAAGATCAAAGAAAGGGGCTTAGCTTTGAATTCCAACGAAGTACATTGGATGGGAATTGGCCTCAGGCCGGGATCTGTCACGGTCTGTCCGAGCCCTAAACAGTCCATCCTATCTCGAAGAAAACTCGGATTCCTCACTTTAAGAGACACTTCTAGTTTTTTTTCCAATCAACCCAACAAATCATCAATACCCAGGTATTGACTACCTCATACTGAGTAGACGACCACTAAATGATACCAGAACAGCCACGGGCCCTATCGGACTGGTTGCTTCGACAGTCATCGCCCCTAAACCTGATCCGGCTCTAGTGCGGGACAGAGAGGCAGAAAAAGTGGGTTGGATAAAAAAAATTGTTAAAAATTTTTTATCTTTCGGGCGGCGAAAAAAAAAATTCAGGCCACAAACCGATAAATATCATCCCTCCCCATCCATTTTTCTTCCTTTCCCCCTCCTTCTCCCCTCTTCCTCCTTTCATCTATCCCTCTCTCTTCCTCTCTCTCTCCTAATCTCTTCTTGGAGATCTGGTCCTCTCTTTACTTTGGAGACCTTTCTGTTTCTTTTTCCTTTTTCTTCTTTTTTTTATCTGTCTCGGACGGATTTTAAAAGGAAGCCTCAAAAGTCTTAGATTTTTTTCTTTGGCTCGTCGTCAAGCGTCTTCTGCGTCGTTTCATCTTTTTCGGACGCAGTTTTCGTGGCAGCCTCCTCTTTTCTCGAGATACCCGGTTTAGAACGATATCGTTGTCTTTTACAAAATGCCTGCTGTTGACGTTGCTTCCGTCCCTGCCGTCTCCGGTAAGGAGACCGCTCAGACTGTCGCCGTTCTCGAGGACCTCCTCAAGAACCTGAGCGTCTCTACTACCCAGGACCAGGTGAACGAGGCCTCCAACAACCTGGCCACCCTCCTCAGTGGCCCCATCCCCGAGCAGACTCTGCCCCTCAAGGCCGTCGAGTCGCTCCAGAAGTCCCTGGGCAACAAGAAGGATGCCAACGCCCGTGAGCGTGCTCTGGACGCTATCCGGGCCATCGCCTCCCACTCCACCATCGACCCGGCCGTCGAGCCTCACCTGGTCACTCTCCTGCCCTCCGTCCTGGCCGCCGCCGGTGACAAGGTCCCCGCCGTCAAGGACGCCGCCATCTCCGCCGCCAGTGCCATCGTCAAGGGTATCAACGGCAACGCCGTCAAGGCCGTCCTCCCCCCTATCCTGGAGTCCATCAGCTCCGCCCAGAAGTGGACCGAGAAGCAGTGTGCTCTCGACTGCATCAACTCTCTCGTCGAGTCCGCCCCCGCTCAGCTGTCCTTCCGTGTCCCCGAGCTGATCCCCGTCGTCTCCGAGGCCATGTGGGACACCAAGGCTGAGATCAAGAAGTACGCCTACTCCACCATGGAGAAGGTCTGCGGCCTGATCGTCAACAAGGATATTGAGCGCTTCATTCCCGAGCTCATCAAGTGTATCGCCAAGCCCCAGAACGTCCCCGAGACCGTTCACTTGCTCGGTGCCACCACTTTCGTGTCCGATGTCACTGGCCCCACCCTGGCCATCATGGTCCCCCTGCTGGATCGTGGTCTCACCGAGCGTGAGACCGCCATCAAGCGTAAGACCGCCGTCATCGTCGACAACATGTGTAAGCTCGTGGAGGACCCTCAGCTCGTCGCTCCTTTCCTGCCCAAGTTGATGCCCGGCCTCAACAAGAACTTCGACACCCTCGCCGACCCCGAGGCCCGTGGCAAGACCCGCCAGGCCCTCGACACCCTCAGCCGTGTCGGTGACGTCAAGGACGGCAAGATCCCCGAGATCTCCACCGCCGGTGACATCTCCACCGTCTCCGCCATCCTCAAGGAGATCCTGGCCCCCAAGTTCAAGGCCCAGGCCGACAAGGCCGAGGCCGTCATCAACTACGTCGGTGCCATCGCCGGTCAGCTCGTCGACGAGAAGGACAGCGAGATCACCAGCTGGACCCAGAACGCCCAGCCCTACATCAGCGCCATCGTCGGCGAGGGTGAGGCCAAGGCCATCGCCGAGACCCTCCGCAAGCGTGCCTCCCCCGAGGCCGCCGCCGCGGACGCGGTTCCCTCCGACGAGGAGGAGGGTGAGGATCTGTGCAACTGCACCTTCTCCCTGGCCTACGGTGCCAAGATCCTGCTGAACCAGACCCACCTGCGTCTGAAGCGTGGCCAGCGCTACGGTCTGCTCGGCCCCAACGGTACCGGTAAGACCACCCTCATGCGCGCCATCAACAACGAGCAGCTCGAGGGCTTCCCCAAGAAGGACGAGGTCAAGACCGTCTACGTCGAGCACGACCTCGACGCCGCCGACACGGAGCAGACCGTCCTCGGCTGGACCCTGAAGAAGCTGCGTGAGGTCGGCATCGACCCCAACGAGAAGGAGGTCTCCGACAAGCTCGAGGAGTTCGGTTTCCTCCGCGAGCAGCTCGAGGGCCCCATCACCGCCCTCTCCGGTGGCTGGAAGATGAAGCTGGCTCTGGCCCGTGCCGTGTTCGAGAAGCCCGACATCCTGCTGCTGGACGAGCCCACCAACCACTTGGACGTCAAGAACGTCGCCTGGCTGGAGAACTACCTGTGCACCTCCCCCTGCACCTCCATCATCGTCTCTCACGACAGCAAGTTCCTCGACAACGTCATCCAGCACGTCGTCCACTACGAGCGCTTCAAGCTGAAGCGTTACCGTGGCTGCCTGAGCGAGTTCGTCAAGAAGGTCCCCGCCGCCCGCTCCTACTACGAGCTCGGCGCCAGCGACATGGAGTTCAAGTTCCCCGAGCCCGGTTTCCTCGAGGGTGTCAAGACCAAGGCCAAGGCCATCGTCCGTTGCAGCAACGTCACCTTCCAGTACCCCAACACCCCTCGTCCCCAGATCACGGACATCAGCTTCCAGGTCTCCCTGGGCTCCCGTATTGCCGTCATCGGTCCCAACGGTGCTGGCAAGTCCACCCTGATCAACGTCCTGACGGGTGAGCTGGTCCCCACCGCCGGTGAGGTCTACCAGCACGAGAACATCCGTATCGCGTACATCAAGCAGCACGCGTTCGCCCATATCGATAACCACCTCGACAGCACTCCCTCCGAGTACATCCAGTGGCGTTTCCAGACCGGTGAGGACCGTGAGACCATGGACCGCGCCAACAAGATCGTCACCGAGGAGGACGAGAAGGCGATGGACAAGATCTACTACATCAACGACACCCCCCGCCGCGTCATTGGCATCCACGGCCGTCGCAAGTTCAAGAACACCTACGAGTACGAGTGTTCGTTCCTGCTGGGTGACAACCTCGGCATGAAGAGCGAGAAGTGGACCCCCATGATGACCGCCGACAACGCCTGGATCCCCCGTCCCGACATCATCCAGTCCCACGGCAAGATGGTCGCCGACGTCGATCAGAAGGAGGCCCTGGCCAGCGGTCAGTTCCGTCCCCTGGTCAAGAAGGAGATCGAGCAGCACTGCGAGCAGTTCGGCCTGGACGCCGAGCTGGTCTCTCACTCGCGTATGCGCGGTCTGTCCGGTGGTCAGCGTGTCAAGGTCGTCCTGGCCGCCTGCTCGTGGCAGCGTCCCCACGTCATCGTCCTGGATGAGCCTACCAACTACCTGGACCGTGACTCCCTGGGTGCCCTCTCCAAGGCCCTCAAGTCCTTCGAGGGTGGTGTCGTCATCATCACGCACTCGCGTGAGTTCACCGAGAACCTCACCGAGGAAGTGTGGGCCGTCATGGACGGTCAGATGACTCCTTCCGGCCACAACTGGGTGACCGGTCAGGGCTCCGGTCCCCGTCTCACCGAGAAGCAGGGCGACGAGGAGATTGTCGATGCTATGGTATGTTTTCTCACAGATCCCCAACCAACTCATCACCCACCAGATTATCCGCTAACACACTCAACAGGGCAACAAGACTGTCGTCGAGAAGAAGAAGAAGCTCACGAGCTCCGAGCTCCGCAAGAAGAAGAAGGACCGCATGGCCCGCCGCAAGCGCGGAGAGGAGGTCTTCAGCGACGAGGAATAAATGTTTGGAATGAGGTCAGATTGTCCGTTGGGATAGATGAATGGTTTGAAGAAGGAAAAAAAAAGGAGGGCGTCGGATTACCTCTGGTAGCTGGTTTACTTGCTGTGATGTTGCTCATAGATTTAAGATTTAATGATCGTACGAATTTCACTTTGCTTCGGAATTCACTATTACCTTGTACTGTAGAGTAGTATGTCCGTATTATCCATGCTAAAATAAGTGTTGCCATCCGACCTAGACTCTAGTACTCTTATCTAACAACCATTTTGTCGCCACTCAAAAGCAGACCAGCCATATAAGAACCCCGAACATCACTCAACCACCAACACCCCCACACCCACCTTTCTCCTCTCCCCCTCTCACCTCAATCTAATCAGTGCCCTGTTCAACAACCAGCCATACCCTTCAAAACTTACCCAAGCAAACAATCAAATAAAATATATTTTCGATAAAGAATACGACCATCTACTGAGAAAATGTCGACCAGCTCTGATTCCTTATTTGCTTAGTCGCAATATTGCATGGAGACATATGCCAAATTCATGTCCAGGTCGAATGGCTGATAGGCTATAATCAAGCCACGAAGACAGTAAGTTGTGTATGTGCAGACTGGAAATGATCAAGCCAGTCGAAGTAGTCGGGACAGGGATGAGCCTCGTGTTTATGGGTAGTAACTACGTTGTAAACTGGCGATTTCTTGATAATGATACTATCTAAGTCTGTGGTGTATGGCTAATTCGAGTTACAAAAGTTCATGCTATATCATGGAAGAATACAGCCCAATCTACGGTATGCATGCTCTTATATTGGTTCTTGGTAGTGGGTATGTCCTCCGCCTATCATGTCCCTCAAGAATGCCTCGTTATACGATGCTCGGGTTGGAGCATATGGGCCAGAGTTCTCCTTCGCGGGACTATATCTTCTGTATACGGCTGTTGAGATATCAAATACTGGTAGATTAGATGTCCACTTCGACTAGATATGGCTGTCTTGGCTCTAGATGATCACTTAATGACCACTCTGCTGTTTATCCAATCCTGTTCACACCCCCCTCCCTCTTTTGTAATCGGTAGGTAAAGAAGATCCGCAGAAATACACTGCAGTATCTGTATTAACAGTTAATACCACCCAAACTAAGTCTATGCAGGAATCCCAGCATGCTCCCTCAGAATCCCATTCAACCCCTCCCGCAAAACACACTGCTCAAAGGCAAAGCTCTTCGCCAACGCATCCAACTCATCCACGCCCATCCCTCTAAACAAGCCCGCAAACTCCTCCGCAAACGAGCTCGCCACAAACGTCTGGAACACATTCCTCAGCAAATGCCTCTTCGTATCCCACGGCGTGGGATACGTCTCCTTCGCAGCCGGCGCCAACCCATCAATCCAGTCCACCAGCGGCTGCAGCGCAACCTCAGGCGATCCCGGCCCGCCAGTAGAAGAAGGCTTCCTCCCCCACGCGTCCAGCCACAACTGGCTCTTCTTGTCGAGGAAGGACTGGATGGTCGAGTTCCATTTGCTGGAGGGACTGGTGTGCACCATGCCCTGGAGCCCGATGTCCTTGTACAGCCAGATGCTCCAGTGGATGCGGTACTTGTCGTAGATGGAGAGCTGGTCGCCGAGGAGGTTGTAGCGTTCTTGGTTGGTGGTTGCGGCTTGGGGGTCGGTGCGCGGGTCGGCGTAGACGGGGCCGAACTCGCCGTTCCAGGTCGCTGTGTTGTTGCGCGTCATGAAGTCGGCTTTGCGGAGGTATTGCCGTTCGAGGGCTTGCTTTTGTTCGGGGGACCCTGTGTAGCGTTCGCCTGTGGGGAAGCCCATGGACTGTTTGGGGTCTGGTTAGTGTGGGGGTTTGGGTTATGGAATAGCAGGAAGAACGTACGGAATAGTCGTGCATGGCGTAGATGCTGTTTGGAAGCACTTGGTCGAATCCTTTCCACTCCATGGCGAATGTGTTCCCGTCTAGCCAGAGGATGTGCTCGGGGTCCATGGCGCGTATGGACTTCTCGATGCGTGCGTAGAAGGCTGGAAGCCGGACGTGCTCTGGATCGCAGGGCTCGTTGAGAGGGTTGTACCCTGCGACCCATGGGTTGCCTCTGTATCTGGCGGCGATGTGCTCCCACAGCCACACGGTCCTGTCCTGGTGGTCCTTGTAGTCCCAGAAGGCGGCGTAGCTGGTGGTGTTGTCGGCGTGCCAGTCGCCGTTTTGACCACCGGGTGCTGTGTGCATGTCGATTATGGTGTAGATCTTCTCTTTGGCGCACTTTTCAGGGTGGATTGTGGATCAGTATATGGGGTTCTTGTTCACGGCTGACTGTGCAGGTGCGTGCTCACCAAGTCAATCACCCGGTCTAGATGCTTGAAGCCCGACTCTTTCAAGACCCGTGGGTTCATGTCATCCTCCAAATGACGATAGTTGAATGGAAGACGGAGGCAGTTGAGCCCCAGAGATGCGAAGAACTTGGCATCTGCCTCTGTGAAGAAATACTCGAGGAACTTGTCGAAGAAGAACTCGTACTTCTCAGGACCAAGGGCCTTGCGCATGGCAGCGCGGTGCTGCGACTCGTGGCCGGGATAGCCAGTGATGAAGTTCTCCATGCTGAGTCCATCGTGTCAGAGTACTCATCTCTCTATTTTAGAAGGGTGCATACTTCATCCATCCGCCAAGGGCAGCACCCCGCAGAAGCACCTCTTCTCCATTCTTGTCGATGACCTTGTTCCCGTCCACTTTAAGAATGCCAGTCGCCATGTTGAAAGTAGTAGTTGAGTTCTTTTCGTGCTATACTTGGTACTTGTTCTCGCAAAAGAGAAAGCCGTGGGCAGATAAATAGTGAGAGGTGGCTGGCAGGAGGAGCTGCAACGCTGTAGCCGGATGCCGGTAAAATGCACGCCTCGTACTAGATCCATGACGTGTTGATTGAGTTGGAGACATCGAAGAGGGGTAAATCGTAGCACTGTGATGGTGTTGTATGCAGTGACCCCATGTCCTAGGGCAAGGATGCCGCGGGTAAACAGATGATTTAGCCTGTTATGGGCCCTGTTATGAGTGTTGACCAGCCTTACGTACTTTGCATATCAGGCGGGCTATAGTCGGTATCTAGTCCATCATACCCACCTACGAAGAGCGATCCACGGCCTAGACATATTGGACCATCATCCTGCGGGGGCCTCGAAGGATTTGCCCCGTGGGGGTGGTATGTATCCTCATGGGTGTGTCTCTCGATCAAGACCACATTCTAGGGTAAGAGCGAAGTTTCCCCATTCAGTCATTGCTTCGAGTACATTAGATCATTTCTCAATATAGTTGAGGTCTGGTATATTTATCAACCAGTATGTACCCCCTACTCTAAAGCAGCTGTTAGCACTCGAACATGTCCATGATCCAGTTAAATTTGACTTACCTGAAGTATCTTGGTGATCCAAACCAATACATATATAACAAATATAAAATTCGACAAAATCCAATTGATTATTAGTTACATGCGACGAAAGATGGAATGAAGAGAGACGCGATGTCAGTCGAAGAAGTAGATACAGTATAGTATCCAGTGCGTGGGTATAGTGCCCCTAAGATCCCACTATCATATAACCCGGCTAATTCCACACTAATGCCACAGCACACGGTTTCCTTATCGATAAGGCAAAAACTACGGGAGAAAAAAAAAAAAAAAAAAAAGACCCCGCAGGATTCCAGCACGATCCATGAAGATTAGAATTCACGATTATCAATCAAATCTCTCCGTCCATCCAGCTTGTTAGCGCATTCTCTCTCGAAATTCCCTCTCAAATCTCCCGGGAATCCATTCTCTACTTCTCAATTGCCGCCAGCTAGAGGATGATCCTATCGTGAACGGTCGATTGAAAATGGCAGAAGGCTCCACGGCGTACCCCGCCTCATTAAATTCCTTGTTCGATACGGAGTCACCCCTCCACGGCGTGTATGAACCCGTCCGATTAGTCGACGCAGACATAGTCCCGATCTTGCAGCTGCCTCTGGCACAATCGATTTTTGGTCAGAATGCAGACGAAAGCGCTTTGAGCCGTGTCTCGAATGGGGAAATCACCTACACCACGTTCTTGGCGGAGCGGACCAAGGCCGTTGCCCAAGAGACACAGGATGGCTTGACCCCCGAGCAACAACGCTCGCAGCTGCTTCACATTGGACTGGCTGCCCTCTTTGGCTTCCTGCAGTCGAACGTCACGGGGCCGCCGTTGGCGTTCAGTCCTGCCGACGTTGTCATTCCTGCTGCACTGCGACCCAGCCCCGCAGCCCTCAAGTCCGTCCGCGATGCCGTGATCCGTGGCCTCTCGGTCGACGGTGAGGCAGCATACAAGCTGACGCCGAACGTGGAGCTCTTTGCTGTGGCCAAGGCGATCTTGGTCGATGCTGGCCTGTCGCTCGCCGACGCGCCCCTGGTGGCTAGGACCGCGAGAATGCGCGTGAACTTCCTGCACCAGAAGATGCTCTCGGAAGTCACCGGCGCTCTTCAAGATGCCATCTATGGTGATCTGGAAGAGCTGAGCAAGTTCGTGCTGAGCGACAAGTCGACTGCGCAAGACAAGGGCAGATTCTTGGTCGAGAGAGCAACGATTCACACTCATCATGGCTACGACGCCAAGGCGCGGCAAGATCTCGAAAAGGCCGCCGACGTGCGGAAGTTCGAGTTTGCTCTGACCGGCAAGATGGGAAAGAGGACCAAGTTCCAAGACCGCGATATCAGTCAGCTTGTGATCCTGGCCAAGACCAACGAGGAGATCTCGAGCAGTGGCCAGGATGAATCGCAGCCCTCGGCTCCCAAGAAACTGGACCTCAATGATGATACCCTGTTGGAATCCATCTCGTTCACCAAGGAAGAAGGCCAAGAATCCCAGGGCAAGCCAGTGACGGTCCAGGATGAGTCCACCCTGCCGCCGGCATTGGCGTCTCTTGATGCCGGAGACCAGCCCCGGCTGGACCCCGTGGATTCCGTCATTCTACTCGCCCTCGCCTCGGCCATCACCAACACGGCCCCCGAAAATGGCCTGACGCGGGAGGAGACCCACCCCTATGCTTCGCGTGTGCTCGAAGGCGGCAGCTCGAACTGGCAGATTTACACCCAGGCGCTGCTGCTACGAAGCCGCATCGAAGGGTACAAGGCCCGGACAGTGGAGCGATCCGTTCTGCAGATGCAAGCGCTTGTGGACCAAGTCATTGCGGACACGGCAAGCCTCGACGCAAACGCGAGCGACTCGACACAAGAGCCCACGACATTCCTGCCCCGCCCCGAGAAATCCGAGTCCGCCTCGGCCGCCGAGCGACTGGAGTACATCTGGATCCTCAACTTCTCGACCCGATGGGACCTGGAGGCAGAACTCGCTACACGATGGGTCAACCTCGGCGGCTTGCGTACTGCCTTGGAGATCTATGAACGGCTGCAGATGTGGGCGGAAGCCGCTCTGTGCTACGCCGCCACGGAGAGAGAAGAAACGGCCAGACTCATGGTCCGCAGACAGCTGTACGAGAGCACGAACAAGGACGCCGAAGACGAGAACGACAAGTTCGAGGGGCCCGAGCTGTCCCCTCTCCCGGCCAACGCCCCGCGCCTGTTCTGCATCCTGGGCGACATCGACTCCGACCCGAAGATGTACGACCGTGCCTGGGAAGTGTCGGGTAACAGATACGCCCGCGCGCAACGCTCCCTCGCGCGCCACTTCCTCACGCTGAAGCCCCCCGCCCTGGAAAAGGCCGAGGAAGCCTACCGCAAGAGTCTCGGCATTAACCGCCTCAACCACGGCGCCTGGTTCGCCCTCGGCTGTGTGCAACTCGAGCTCAGCCACTGGGACGACGCCATCGAATCCTTCACTCGCACCGTTCAGCTCGAAGACAACGACGCCCAGGCCTGGAGCAATCTCGCGGCCGCCATCCTCCGCTCGCCCAAGCCCTCGGAGACAGCCACCAACCCGGCCGACCTCGAAGACCAACCATCCGACGAAGACAATGACGACGAGAGCGCGCCGAAAAAGACACCCCCACAAGACCCCTACAAGCGTCAACGCGAAGCCCTCACGGCACTCCATCGCGCCGCGCACCTCAAGCACACCGACGCCCGCATCTGGGACAACGTGCTCACAGTCGCAGCAGCAATCCCACCCCCCTACACGCCCTTCCGAGACGTGATCACCGCGCAACGCCGCCTCGTCGAGCTCCTCGGTCCCAAAAAGGGCGAAGCAGCCGTCGACGCGCCCATCCTCAGCATGCTCGTCGACCACCTCGTAACAGCCAACGAATACGAGCAACTGCTCATCAAAGTCGACGAGAACAGCTCCGAGTACGTCATCCGCAGCGGCACCATCGCCGGGCAGATCCTCTCGCTCATCGACGACGGCATCGTCCCACTCATCACGCACTCCGCCCCGCTGTGGCTGCTCGTCGCCGAGGTAGAAGCCTGGCGCCAGCGGCCGTCGAAGGCGCTCGAGGCTTACGAGAAGTCCTGGCGCGCGACTGTTGCGTCGTCGACGCAGGGCGCGTTCCAGATGGGCGACGAGAAGCGCTGGATGGATGTTGTGCGCGCGACGGAGCGGCTTGTGCGCAGTGGGTATGCGAAGTATGGGCCTATGGATAGCGAGGGGTCGGTCCCTGCTGAGGGTGAGGAGGCCGAGATGGTGGCGAAGGATTGGAGGTTTAAGGCGCGGAGCGCGGTGAGGGGCATTTTGGGCAAGGGGAAGGAGTTCTGGGAGGATAGTGATGGGTGGGCGAGGTTGAAGGAGTTGCAGAGTGAGGTGGGGAGTACTTGATACATAGTTTGCTTGATTCGTTACTAGATATACAAAATGGGTTTCTTTGTTTTCATCTTTGCTCTTTTCCTTACTTCAGATATGAAATAAGTCATATAGCCAGTCTCAATACAAAGTACGAACAGAAATGGCCTAGGCTACTTAGTTATCTGCCCTCCACCTTCCTCTTCACCATCCCACAAAAACTCTCAAACAACACCGAATCGCCCCCCTTCACCCACCGCACCAACACTCTTACCCCTTTATCCTCCTGTCCGCCCTCCCTTTTCACCTGAATCTTAAACCCCAGCGCGGCATCCTCCTCGTCCACACTCGCCTTCTGCATCTCCAGCGACGTATCGCTGCTCTTCAATTTGCGCCGCGCCTGCCGCGACCACACGTTCTCCATCGCGAACCCGATCCCCGTCGCTTGACTCTTCCGCCAGACCCACTGCACGGGGATCTCGACGAGCTCGGAGTCGAGCTTGTGACCGATGTCGTCGATTGATGCGTGCGCGATGTCGAAGGTGTATTCTGAGGGGAAGGGGAGGAGGTGTTTGGGGAGGCCCGTTATTGAGCGGGATGCTGCCTGTATGAGTTAATTGTTAGTAAGCTATCCTAACTACCTGTCACGCATGGTATGTCCCAGGACCGAGTGGAAACAAACGGGAGGGAGAAGAAATGGGAAACATACAACCGAAGGTCGATAATCCGAAAACGACCACGCAATCGCCCACCGCCTCGTCTTGGACCCCTGCACGAACTCCGTGACGGCATAGTTGTGGATTCCGTACGAGGCGAGCTTCTCCACGAGAACGGAGACGCTGCTCAGCTTGCCGACCATGGACGTGTACCAGGTGACGGCGCTGCGGAGGCGTAGACTTTCGTCGATCATGCGCGAAACGAAGGAGACTTCGCCTCCTGGGGTGACCATTTCTATTTCGGAGCCTGTGCATGCCTTGGGTTTGCCTCTTAGTGTTTTGCCAGGAGGGAGGTTGTTGGAGGGAAACGTACGGAGAAGGGAGGTCGTTCTTTTTCTTGCGCGGATGTGATCATCTCGCTGCGGGAGGCGTAGAACGGGGGATTGCACATTGTGAAGTCCAACCTGGTATTGTTAGGTCGAGTGTGCGGGTGGAGGTAGGTGGTCGGCTTACTTTCCCACCCCGAGTTTAGCCAACGGGATGAGGTCGTCGTCGGGGTTGGTCTCGACGATTTGGATGCGCGATTCGAGTCCGTTGGCCGATACATTCTTCCGTGACGTCCGGATGTTGTTGTCGTCGATGTCTGCTGCTGTTAGCCTCGAGACTGCCAGAGGGGTGATCGTCCGTACCTGTAGCTACGAACTTCCACAGCGGTCGTGTCGCGCAGCCCAGTAATGGGTATATGCAGCAGCCCCCCGTTCCTCTGCGCTTGTGAGTCCATGCGACCAGGTAGCTGGAGCAGGCGGCCTACATGTCCAGCCCTTGGACTTCTCTATCCGGGTCGTATTCATCGCGGTATTCACGTCCCGTTGTGTCTAGCAGGTCCTGCACCCAGAGGATGTAGTTCAACCTGGAGCCGTGTCAGACCTGCGACTCCAAATCCAAATGCCACCCACCTATTCGGAACCTAGTCTAGTTAGCCTCCTATGGCCTGTCATGTTCTAGGAGTGGCACCCACCGGTGGACAGAGTCGATCGTCCGGAATCTCGACATCCAGATTAAAATCGCGTTTCAAGAGACTCTTGGTCAGTTGTCTGTCTGGTCAGCCCAGCCTACCCCACAGTTACCCAGCCCACTCCACAGTCAGGGCCAGCCTACCGAACCGCGTCCGGGTCGCTAAAGTCCAGTTGACCGTTGGATTTCAATCTGCCCACCGTCAGCCCACCCGTGTGGCGTCCATTCCACTCCATTCATTTATCATACTGTTTCGCAAATTCGGGCGACTGCAGCGCCAATTCCGCAAAATCCACGTCATCTCTGTAGATATTCCGAGCGGCTCGCATCGTGGTGGCTTAAATCCCTGTCGGAAACTCTCCAGAAAAAAATCCGGAAATAGGCAGCGGAGATGAGGATGGAGACCGTGGATTGCAGTGTGGGGCTCGCCCAGCAACTCACACACGACCTCTGATTGTTGACCCGATCGGAATCGCCACGGGAATCGGGTCCAGGGAATGTATTTTTAGATGGATTTTGTGGAGAGAAAATCACCAATAATCAAGGGAAACATGGACATGGAGAGGAAGAATGTTCAGGGGTGTTAAGAAAAATGACATCACGGATAATCCATCCCCCTCTTTCGCGTCTTTGCAGATCTAATCAGTTAGCAGTTTTTTCCTCTATTTAGTTTTTTTTCTTCTCTTTTCTACCCGTCTCTCCCTCGTTGTAAACTGTGTGGATCTTCAGTTTTTTTTGGTTACCCTTTTTGTTCTTTTCTTGGTTATCCTTCCCCAGAGATTATTTTTCCCAATTAACCGGACAGTATGGAGGGTCTCAGGGAAAGCTTCAAAGGTCAATTCTATCTCCAAAAATCCCCCCCTGTCACACAAATGCAGCCCACTCACCCCGCATGGTTCGCGTAGACTCCAGTCTGGAAAATGTGAGAGAAACCGCCCATCATGTGAAACACAAAGTCGGCAAATTCTTCAACATCCTCAATCCCAACCACCGCCACGATGAGGAGCACGAGCAGGAGTGTGACAAGAAGCGCACCGCCATAGCCGAGTCCCATCGCTTCGATTCCTTCGCCCCCATCCGCGACAACAACAAGGTCAAGTGGTATGTCGATGCGCTGGATTACATGTGGGCCGTCTCGATCGCGCTCGAGAAGGCTGAAAAGGTCATTTATATCGAGGACTGGTGGTTGTCGCCGGAGCTGTTCCTGCGTCGGCCTCCGTACATGGCCCAGGAATGGCGACTGGATCAGGTCCTCAAGCGTCGCGCTGAAGCGGGTGTGAAGATCTACGTGATTGTTTATAAGGAGGTCGGTTTCTCAACATGGTTGAGTCTATTTTTTTTTTTTTTTTTTGCTGATTTGTATAGGTCAACCAAGCACTCACCTGCAATTCCGCCCATACCAAGCATGCGTTGCGCAACCTCTGTCCTGAGGGAACCCCGGGGTATGGAAACATCAAGGTTCTTCGTCATCCGGACCATAACATCTTCGAGAACGCGGCCGATGTGGTGTTCTACTGGGTAGGTCGGATGATACATACTGTTCGGGCCCAAGCTGACAGCCGCAGGCTCACCACGAGAAATTCATCGTGATTGACCACTCGTTGGCGTTTATCGGAGGCATTGACCTGTGCTTCGGCAGATGGGACGCCAACCAGCACCCCTTGGCCGACGTGCATCCTTCCAACATGAAGGACGAGATCTTCCCGGGTCAGGAATTCAACAACAACCGCATCATGGACTTCCAAAGCGTGGCAGACTGGCAGGCCAACGAGCTGAGCAAGGCGGACTACGGCCGTATGCCCTGGCACGACGTGGCTATGGGCCTGATCGGAGACAGCGTCTACGATATCGCCGAGCATTTCGTTCTGCGGTGGAACTTCATCAAACGCGACAAATACAAGCGCGATTCTTCCGTTGACTGGCTGACCCTGGAGGGCCGTTTGGGTGAGGATGAGGACCTGGTCGGTGTCCAGCGCCCCAAGTACCCCTGCGGCGATTACGTGCAGCACCCCATCGATGGCCTGGAGTCGACCGTTCGGGGCAACCAAGGTACCTGCAAGACGCAGATCATTCGCAGCAGTGCCGATTGGAGCAGTGGCATTCTGGTGGAGCACAGTATCCAGAACGCCTACAAGGAGATCATTAGCAAGGCTCAGCACTTGGTCTACATTGAAAACCAGTTCTTCAGTATGTTATTGACTCCTATCCCCCCCCCCCCAAAAAAAAAGCTTGAGCTAACGCAGTGTAGTCACCGCTACCGGGGATAAGCAGGCTCCGATCTTGAATACCATCGGCCGCTCTATTGTGGATGCGTGCGTCCGGGCCGGCAAGGAAGGACGCAAATTCCGCGTTGTCATTGTCATTCCCGCAATTCCTGGGTTCGCCGGTGATCTGAGAAAGAACGAGGCGACAGGCACTCGGGCGATCATGGACTACCAGTACAAGTCGATTCACCGCGGCGAACACTCGATCTTCGGCCAGATTTCCGCCCAGGGAGTTGACCCCAAGGGTGAGCTTTTTTTTCCATTTCTTCTACGATATGGAGAGGCTGACGCAGACAGAACACATCTTTATCTTCAACCTGCGGGCATACGACCGCATCAACAAGACTCCTGCTCTGGAGGAGCTCGAGACCGAGGCCGGCGTCAACTACAATGACATCCAGCGTGGTATCGCCGAGTCAATCATGAGCGAGGCCGTTCACCCCGCTGTTGACAAGGAGGGCGACGAGACCGAGGTCGGCTACGACGGTGCGGAGAAAGAGCGCCAGGAGCGCCTGGACAAGCTGCGCAAGTACGAGGAGTCGTGCGAGCGTCACCAGAACCTATACAGCGGCAATAGCAAGGACACTGTGGCCCACACGACGATGCTCAACGAGGGCAAGATGTCCGACGAGGTCTGGGAGGGCGACGCGGAGAACGAAAAGAACAACTTCGTTCAGGAAGAGCTGTACGTGCACGGCAAGGTGTGCATCGTGGACGACCGGATCGCCATCTGCGGCAGCGCAAACATCAACGATCGAGTGAGTTTCCCTCTCCCTCCATCCATCCCCAAACCCACCCTAACAAGCATCACAGTCCCAAGTCGGTTTCCACGACAGCGAGCTCGCCATCGTCGTCGAAGACCAAGACTTCATCGACAGTGAAATGGACGGCCGTCCCTACCAAGCCGGCCGTCTGGCCGCCACCCTCCGCCGCCAGCTCTGGCGCGAACACCTCGGCCTCCTGCCATCCCAGAACTACGACGCCTCGGAGCACCCCAACGCGCAGCCTCCCAACGTCTGCATGAACCACGTTCTGCGCGACGCGGAGAACGAGTTCGTCGCCGACCCGCTCAGCGACGGCGTGTGGCAGATGTGGACGGAGCGCGCGACGGTCAACACCGAGACGTACCGGACGCTGTTCCACGCCGACCCAGACGACAACATCCTCACCTTCGAGGACTACGACGCCTTCTCCCCGCACAACAGCAACAAGCAGGGTCACCTGTTCGACCCCTTCCAGCCTGCCCAGGACGTGCGCGAGAAGCTAGACAAGATCAAGGGTCATCTTGTCTGGATGCCGCTGGATTTCCTTAAGGATGCGGAGATGGCGGAGCCTGGGTTGCAGGTGAATCAGCTTACGGAGGTATGTTTGCCCTGATTGATTGTGTGGATGAGATGGAGTGCTAACTTGAGCAGAGTATCTATACTTGATTGTATTTATTGGTTGTAGTGTTGATCAGATGTTGAATACCCAATGGATAGGTGAGAAGTATGTAGACTTGGTTGCTGTTTGTTTTATTCCTTTGGGGAATATTTGATAAATATGGATATGATACGATTGGATAGGATAAGAAGTTTGATGAGCCATGGCTCATGTCAACGTTTATGTCAGATACAGAATACGACGTTATACCTGCTATGATCTGCACCATACAATAACCTGTCATGGGCTCATCGTATATAACCCCTAACAAATAGAGAAGTCATAGTCACAGATAACCTGGCCTCTCCTTCGCAGTATTACGATATATACTCTCTATACTGCAAGCGGATACATGGAAACAGACTGACCACCACCACAACTCAACCAACCCATCTCCCAACTTACCAACCAGTGCGCCCAAACCCAAACACCAACTCAACGGGATATTCCTCACTCAACACCCAACACAAAGCAACCAAATATTCCCAAATAAACTTTCCCAAACCAACCCACTAACCAATATACCCTAGCAATTAGTAAGATCTACAGCCCACCCAGTAACTTGACTCTCCCAACGCAAGGGCCCCCCACCCCCTAGACATGTATATACATGTTAAGCCAAACACAGAACAGATGACAACCAAAGTGGGGTTAGACATGAAAATTAGCCAAAGTTAAATCCCATACTCTGACCCAGTTGGTTGGGAAGGGTGAAACTTTACTGTATTTTACTATGTAGGTAGATGCTTTGGGTAGGTGTATATGTAAGGTTGGTTGATCCGGGCAGGATCCGAATCCTTACTTAGGATGAGGGTTGGAGGAGAGGGTGAGGGTGAAAGCTTGGGGTAGATCTTTTTACGTTGTATGATTTATATATTTCTATTATGTTGTTTACTTTGATCTTGGCCAATTCCTTCTTTCTACGAACTCCTTTTATTTGTCCACCTACATACCTTATTACATACTCTGTACTACCTGTTTGATCGAGATACCCAAGGTATGTACATATCTTAGTGTGCGCTTGATATCACATCATCTGACATCACATCGTATCATATCTTGGTTTGGTCTGGGTTAATGTTAGTAGTGGAGTCGTTGTATTGTACTCTTGGATTGGATTGTTTTTGGGTGAGACATAAGATGGATCTGGTTCTTTAGTGCCTGACTACTTGTGGTAATCATCGAGTCAATATCTACTAAGATCATTTAGCTACATTAGCGTCATTGAAAGTGAAAGATGGTTTAATTGCGTCGCCGCATCCTGTGAAGGTCTAGGTAGTAGTAATATCTATAATACATGTAGCCCATGTGTAAACAGACACCAACAAAACAACAAAATAGTCAAACTCATACTGTGTCTTTCCAGACATGAAGAGAAAAGGAGGAAGAAGAAGAAAACACCCGAAAGACAAGGCAAAACCTTTTGCCAGACCCTTGACACCAAGCGATGCTTTGCTGAAAGAACACAACACAACAATCATGACATGTGGTTAGCTCTCACCTAGCCAGCAAGTGTCGGCCGTGTCAGTGCCTTGTGATAAGGCTACAGAAAATCAGAAAAACACACATATAGACAGAAAGATGGAAAAAGAAGGCAATGGAAGCGAAAACGAGGACGGAAAAGTGGAGATATGCAATGCAACGCATGTCTCTCTGGTGGGTTCTTGTGGGTTTTGGTACTTTGAGAACTTGCGAGGGGTCCATGGCTAGCTTTCGATTCCACGCCTGCGTCGAGTGCGTTGTGGTTTGATGGCTGGCTGGCTGGCGGGAAATGGATTTCCGCTGTTCATGATTCGTTTGAAGATTTCCAGACGTATCAACAAGACACACCGATTTCGAAACGCCATGAGAAAAGAAATAGAAGATCGAAGCAACGAGGAAGAAAAACATAGAAGGAAAAGAAAGGGGGTAGGGAA